TGAGAAATCTTAATTATTTTAAGTAGTGAAAGTGCAGCTTTTGTGTTTTAATTCTTTGAAATGGGCAGTTTTTTAATGATATATTTTTAGTTAGCAGTTCTGGAGTAAACAATAGTTAAATTTGCTTATTTGTATATAGACAGGCTGCAGTTCTCCAAACTCTTGATGCCACATTTGAGACTGGAGAAGTGAAATAAGATAGTAATACTGAGTTGTTTTTTACTTCCACTTCCTCCCCCAACCCAACCCTGTGTAAATAATTTCAATACAAAAGTATTATTTTTCACAGTGGGCTCTGGACTCACACTGGTGTGATCTGATTTACAGCTTTACCTCTTAATTACCTCTTTGTCCTTAGGAAGTCATATTAACCTCTCTAAGCCTAGAGAGTAGTTAGAAATACTACGTTTTAGGGTTGAGAAGATTAACAGTCAGTAGTCGTAACTTCTGTGTATGTTAATCAATACTGTATATAAAACTATTCCTAGATTGTGTGATATATGTTTAATTGTAAAAATTTATAAAATACACAAAAACAGAGAGGAGAATAAATTATCTGTGATTCTTTTTTGTTAAAAAAATTTTGGTGTTAAAACTTTGATGTATACACTTTTTTTTAAAAAGTATGTCTTTAAGAAATATAGGATCTTTCCCCCTACTTAATTACATTATTTTAATGGCTTCATGAAGTTCCTCCTTTATAAACATTTTATTCCCATTTCTTTAATTTTGTTAATAATACCAGCATCTTGTACTTGAACCTACTTGATACTAATAAAATAATTTAAAATATAAATCTCCCAAAGTAGATCTTGATCCTAGTGCATTTTTCTAATTTATAAACTATTTGCAGTTATCAATTCCATTACCAATATGCCTTTTTATCTGGTAAAATAATATTTAAAAACAATATGCTATTTTTGTGAGTTTCAAATAGAACTTTGGAATTCACATGATTTGAGTTTTAGGAATAATGAATATATGTCATATTTGTTTGTCAATTATATTTCTTCAGTAAGTTCCTTGTATATTTTCTTTGCCTGTTCTTCTTTGGGGTCCTTAGAAGTCTTTCCTCAATTTGTTTCAAGCTTTTTTAAGGATCTATATTAGTTTGCTAGGTGAGGATGGAATGTTATGAGCTGAACTGTGACTTGTCAAAATTCGTATTTTGAAGTCCTAACCTCTAGCACCTCAGAATGTGACTGTATTTGGAGATAGGAACTTTGAAAAAGGTAATTAAGGGAAAATGTGGTCATATGGGTGGGCCCAATCCAGTAGAATCTCTTCCTTATAAAAAGTGTAGATTAGGAGACTGACGAACACATAGGAAGACACAGAAAATAGCCATATGTAAGGCAAGGAGAGAGACTTTGAAAAAAAAAAAACCAAAAACAAAAAACGCTCTGCCAGTACCTTGATCTTATACTTCTGGCCTCCAGAGTTATGTAAAAGTAAATTTCTGTTGTTCAAGCTACCTAGTCTGTGATACATGTTATGGTAGCCCTAGCAAACTACATATAGTGCCTTAACCTTTTTCCTACCATATTTGTTGCAAATTTTTTTACTAACACGTTATGTCACTTTTAATTTTAGATATATAGTTGGTTTTTAGAGGTACAGAAGTTTTCTCTTGTCTCAAAACTTAGAAATTTTTATGTTATTGTTTTAAATATGTAAGTATAAACTCATCCTTTTAAAATTTTAACTATTTTAACACTGTACAAGACAGTAAAAAGAAAAAAAAATGTACTGTTTGAAAGTCTGAAGCCTCTTTGTCATATCATTTTTTTTTTTTTTTTTTTTTTTTTTTTTTTTTTTTGAGACGGAGTTTTGCTCTTGTTACCTAGGCTGGAGTGCAATGGCGCAATCTCAGCTCACCGCAACCTCCGCCTCCTGGGTTCAGGCAGTTCTCCTGCCTCAGCCTCCTGAGTAGCTCGGATTACAGGCATGTATCACCATGCCCAGCTAATTTTTTTGTATTTTTAGTAGAGACGGGGTTTCACTATGTTGACCAGGATGGTCTTGATCTCTTGACCTTGTGATCCACCCGCCTCGGCCTCCCAAAGTGCTGGGATTACAGGCTTGAGCCACTGCGCCCGGCCGTCATATCAATATTTTAAGGAATACTAGTATTATAGTATGAGCAGTGTTGCAATATTTGATAGCAGCTATTCTGATCCTATCTCCTACCCTATTCTATTTGGGACTCCTAATTTATTGTATTGTATTTTATTATTATTATTTTGCCTCTAAAGAAAAAACTGGTTAGGAATCTTTTACAAATATCTTACCAATAGGTACTGAACTTCTATTGTCAGCTTTTTCGTAGGATCTGTTCTTCTCATAGATGTGATATGAGGTGTTTATCACTTTGGTTGGTTTATACTGTATGGTTACAATGTTTATAACTTCATGTTGAGAAAGAGTATTATTTGGAGACCCTTTTTAGTCTTCAGTGTCAAATAAATGATTTACCTTCTCTTTAATCCATTTCAGTTGGCCCCAATAAATCAATTAAAGACATTATACCTAACTTTTAGGTAAAAGTCAACTCTCCAAAGTCATACCTAGATTAAACTGGCACATATATATCTAGGTGGCATCCATATACACCAGTCTTACACCACCACACTCAATGAAAACTAGGAAAACCTGTCTGAAGGCAGCAGCGAGCTGCTCGGGCAACAATAAGTGCAGACGCCAGTCTTTCAGAAAAGGGAGAATCTTGTACAAGTGAGTTGCTGCAACAACTTTTTCCCAGGGGACACTTGCTGATATAAAGTGCGGGCAGGAAACAGGATTCAAGCGTTAGACCCAGGAATACTGTTGCTGAAAGACCAAAGAACAGCACAGAGGTTTTGGTGGAGTCCTGGGTGCATCAAGCATGAGGAGATTCCCTTAGTTCAGTTGTTTAATCCTAGCGGTACCTGGGGTGATAAACTTAAAACCTTAGTGAAAAAATTTTGAAAATCAGGGAAAGAGCTTGCAAGACAAAATAAATTTTTCATTCTCCTTGGACTAGGTTTTTTAACAATAGGCTTTCAGTTGAAACTTCAGGTGGCAAGGAAAAAGCAGAGGTAGACCTGGTCTTCCCAGGGCAGCCACCTAACCTGGACTCAACACCATCTAGTGGCCTAACAGAAAGAAGGCTGAACCTTCTGTGGAGACAGATAACACCATTAGATCTTCACAAGTTTTTATATACAGTCAAAGATTAAGGTGCCACCAAAGGACAGAATTACATGACTAGAAGAAAAGGAAAAATAGCTAATAACAAATCCAGAGATGATCCACATCGTTCAGGTTTATTAGATGAAATCCACTTTCAAGAACAATCGTGTCATGAACATAGAGAATATATGGAGAAAACTGATGTGAAGTGAATTTCATTAGCACATTTGAGTGGCTAAAAAGATTAAGTGGAAATTCAAGAAAGGAATAATACAGTATCTAAATTTTAAAACTCATTAGATACATGTAATAGAAGATGAGACACAACAGAAGACGGGTTAATAGAAAACATTCAATTGAAGTATTGAGATAAAATGGAAAAAAAAAAACCCAAAAGCGGATTTACAGATTTCTGATACACGTGAAAAGATCTGGCATGTATTTAACTGAATTACCAGAGGAGAGTTTAAAGCAAATTGGAGAGTAGTAGTTTTGAAGATATACTGTATATAATTTTTCAAAATTGCAAGAATAGATAAACCCAGAGATTTAAGAAGTTTTGTTTACCCTAAACAGGATAGCTACAAAGGAGACTACAGCTAGACACATTGTAATGAGATTGCTGGAAACCAAAGATAAAGAAAGATGTCTTAAAGAGTGTCTGGAGAGACTGGATGCTATGGCTCTCATGCCTGTAATCCCAGCACTTTGGGAGGCTGAGGTGGGCAGATCACCGAAGGTCGGGAGTTTGAGACCAGCCTGGCCCACATGATGAGACTCCATCTGTACTAAAAATACAAAAAAATTGGCCGGACATGGTGGTGGGCACCTATAATCCCAGCGACTCGGGAGGCTGAGGCAGGAGAATAACTTGAACCTGGGAGGTGGAGGTTGCAGTGAGCTGAGATCGCACCACTGCACTCCAGCTTAGGCAACAGGGTGACACTGTCTCCAAAAAAAAAAGAGAAAAAGAGTCTGAGAAATGGCATGACTTTCAAAAGAATCAACAATAACAGTGATGGCAGACTTCACAGCTGAAACAATGGAAGCCATCTTGAAACCATTGGAGGAAAATAGCAGTTAAATGTAAACTTCTAAATATTCAGCAAAATATTCTTAAACATGAAAGTAAAAATAAAAATTAAAATAAAAACAGTCATTTCCAGAGAAATAAAAACCAAGAAAATCATTATCAGTAACCTGGTCTAAAATTAAAACACCAACAAAACAAGTCAACAGCAACAACAGAGTTCTTCAGGTAGAGGGAAGAATATTCCAATTAAGGAACCATCAGAATGACAAATAATGAGAAGGGTAAATATGTGAATAAATATAAATTGATATCGACTAAATACTGTAAAAAAATAACAGTAATGTGATATAGCTCTTAAAAGATAGGATAAATAATTGTCAAGTGAAATGTGAGGGGAGAAAGTGAAATTTAGCATTTTTGAGGACATGGTGAAGTGATACCTTTTGTTAGATTGTAATAAGTTAGCAATGCATGTTGTAATCTTAATAGTAGTCATTAAAAGAACCATTTTTAAAACAGTAAATTTTTGAGGAAGAAAATGGAGTAATAGAAAACAAGTAGTTTTTAAAAAGGCAGGAAAGATAAAAGATTAAAAAAACTTAAAAAGTGGCAGATCAAATGAGATGATGATATAAAGATGATATAAATAAGATGATATAAATAAAGCTGCCTATTTGAACAGTAGAATCATTTTAAAAAATGTTATTAAATAAAAATACCTTATTTTCCAGCTTAAATATATAATTTATAAAAACATACAAGACATAAATACGTATATGTTTTGTTTTTCTGACAGCTTCTTTGTGATATTGGCCACAGTGAAGAAAAGCTGGGTTTTAACTATGAGGATATCATAATTTGGTAAGTATATTTTATTCCCCTCTCCCATCCGTTCCAGATTTTGGCATTAATTTTAGTAATTTTAAACTAGAAATAGGATAATACAGCACCTCATATTTGGTTTTATAGAAATGGTTGCTTGAACATTAGAAAAATTTAAGAGCTACAGTAGTTTTGTTTTTGTGAGTCTTTGTGATATTTTCTAATTACTAAATATGAAGAACCAAAGTGAATGTTCAAAAATACCTGGACTTCTATAATTTAAACTTCTAAATTAAATCTGAAATTTGCAAACTGAATTTCTCTTATTATTCTCAGGAACAAGAAGAACCTATAACTCTTGGTCTTACCTAAGAGAAAGTTTATGCTTACAGCAGACTTACTTGATTTGTCCATGCACACTAATAGAGGCATGTTACATGGTTTTATAATTTCTGTTAGGTGCTCTTTGGAATTAAAATGGATATAAAAGGTCTGTGCCTGCTATTGGCGTAAATTATTTTTATCATTGATTTAAACCAGTGATTCTTTGGGAGGTATGGAACCAGGTAGTCAGAGAGAGGATATTCGATTTTAGAGACATACATCATATAGCTTGAAAAAGGCATATTTAATTTTCCATTGTTTATATAAAATAAAGTACAGAAAGTAGAAAAAACTTAGTAATATTTTCTTGATTGGTAAAATTGTACTAAGTAGGCATAAATTTTTTAAAAAGCAACACTAAATGGAATTATATGGCTTAGAGTGAATAATTTTTATATATGTAGAATGCTTTTAGATAGAATTCCATCCATGACTAGAAATTTTGCATATTTTGGCTGAGGAATAATTTGGTAATATAATTTTGCATGTATTTGAAACCCATGCAGCAAAACTTAAATTTTGTTTGTTTTCATACAGTTTGCGGTTAGCTTTATTAAACGAAGCAAAAGAAGTGCGAGCAGCAGGGCTACGAGCACTTCGATATCTCATCCAAGACTCCAGTATTCTCCAGAAGGTGCTAAAATTGAAAGTGGACTATTTAATAGCTAGGTAAATTTCCTAGAGTTATTTATGTTTCTGAAATTTTGTGTTGAGTTTTTAGCATGCCTATCATAAAGTGTACAAATTTTTACTATAGTGTAAGTTTGATGAATTTTGTGCACACACGAACATATACACACACACACACCCCCCCCAAGTAACAAGATTTAGAATATTTTCAGCATCTCAGTAAAGCTCTGTTGTACCTCTCATCAGTTGTAAACATTATTCCGACTTTTCTCATTGCAGACTAGTTTTTCCTGTTCTTGAGCATTGTGTATTGCGAGTATACAGTACTCTTTTTTTCCTCATTATTATCTTTGAGATTCATCTATGTTGATGCATTTTTTGTTGTTTTTGCTGTGTAATATTTCATTTTATGAATAGACCACAGTTTATTCCATTCTGTTGAAGCTTTTCTGGGTTGTTTTCAGTGTTTGACTCTTCTGAATAAAGCGCCCTGAATATTCTTGTAGAGGCTGTTGGTGGACATACGCACTATTTCTCTTAAGTATATGTAGAACTAGAACTTCTGGGTCATAAGGTACATGTGTGTTTAGTGTTAGTAGATATTACTAAATACTTTGCTAAATGATTGTACTGATTTATACTTCTATTATTTATAAGAATTTCAGTCCCCCTGTATCCTCATCAACACTTGCTATTTTCAGTTTTTAGTTATATCCTTTCTGGTGTGGTTTTCATTGTGGGGTCTCACTGTGGCTTTAACTTGCGTTCCCTGATGAATGATGATGGTAAGCACATTTCATTTACTTGTTGAAAGTTTGCTTATCCTATCCTTTGCTCATTTGTAAACTGGATTATCTTTTTTGTTATGTAGCTATTCTTGATGTCTTCTGGATATGAGTCTTTATAGATATATGTATTGAAAATGTCTTCTTTCAGTTTGCCTTGCCTTATCTTTGAAAGCTTTGCCTTTTCACTCTTTTAATGGGTCTTTGATGAACAAAAGTTCATAATTAGTGAAAACCAAAATATTTTTTGGTCTGTTTGGAAGAGATCTATGCTTTCTTTTAAAGGTTTTATTCCTTTACACATGTTTAAGTCTTTGAACCATCTTATTTGATTTGATCTAATTTCATGGTTGTGTAAGGTATGACATAGATGTCAAGTCATGACTCATTTTTATCTTTATGAATATCCAATAAAATTACCACCTTTCATTAAAAACATTTTCATTTCTTGTCTAGATTTGTGTCATCTTTGTTGTAAATCGAATAGTTAAGTAGCAGTCTATTGCTGGGTTCTCTGACCTCATTAGTTGGTATATTTTTCTGTCCTGGCACCAGTTTCTCACTGTTTTAAGTACTGCAGTTCTAAAATATGTCTTGGTATCTGTTAATGTGAGTCTGATGTTGCTTCTTCAAGACTATCTTGACTAATCTGGGTTCTGTGTTTTCATATACATTTTAGTATAAGATAGTCCATATCCACATAACTTGCTGGGATTTTAGTAGGGGTTGCACTGATGCTCTAGATTAATTTGGGGTGAATTTACATCTTAATATTTAATTTTCTAAACATCTATTTATTGGAAATTTTGATTTCTGTCAGCAGTATTTTATAGTGTGTGTTTGTTTTTTTGTGGAGGTCCTGAACATATTCAGTTTATTCTAAGATATTTTTATGATAGTATTAATGTCATTTAAAACTTAGTCTTTTCTGTTTTTGCTACTAACATTAAAAAAATTAAGGGGCGATACTGACCTCTTATGTAGCAAACTTGCTAAATTTATTTTTTAATTCTGGTTGTTCTTAGATTACTTTGGATTTTTTGTGTATAAGCATTAATTACAGATTATGTCCATTTTATATCTTCTTTTCCAATCTTTATCTTTCTTTTTCTTGCCTTCCTGTGTGAGTTAGAATATTGCACTGAATAGGAATGATAATAATGGACAAGTTTGTTTTGATCTTGAACTAGGTGGAAAGCGTTGAGTATTTCACCATTATTTATACTTTCTGTAAGCTTTTACTAGTTTTTTTTTTTACATTTCTAGTTTGCATTCTTGAAATAAACACCACTATTCATGATGTATTGTCCTTTTTACATGTAACTGAATTTTATTTGCTAATATTTTATAGATTTTTGCTCCTATGTTTATGAGAGGTATTGAACTTTATTTTTCTATTCTTCTAAAAATCTTTGGTTTTAATATTGGGAGTATGTTTCATAAAACAACTAGGGAAATACGGGCGTGTTTTCATATTCTCTGGAAAATGTATGTAAGATACGTATTTTTTTTCTTTTGTTCCACATGATTAGAATTTGTTAATGGATCTGTCTGACTGGGGTTTTTTTTTTTCAGCATGTTTTAAAATGATAGACTCAGTTTTTTTTTTTCTCACCTATATAGTATGTTCTGACATTTCTTTTTCTTGTTTTAGCTTTTGAAACTTTGTTGTTACTTTCATATTTAGAATTGCTAAAATAATTAAGCCCAATTCATATTGGGCCTAATTCTTTTACAATTATAAAGTGACCCTCTGTATTTCTAGTAATAATTCTTTTATGAGGATTCATGTCATCTAATAATACATTACCACCTTTATTTTGCCTGGTGTTTGCATGGTATACCTTTTCCTATCTTTTTACTTTTTTTTTTTCTTTAAATTTAAGTGTCTTCCCTGTAAATATCATACTGGTTTTTTGTTTTTTTCTTTTTTTTTTTTTTAATATCTAGTTTGAGGAACTTTATCATCTTATTAGAGTATTTAAACTATTTATGTCTAGTGGTTTATTATGTGCATGATTTATGGACTTTGTCTACTGTAATTATTTGTATGTGTTTATGAGTTTGTTTTCTCATTACTAGCTTCCTAATACTGGAATTTGTTTGCTCTTTTGCTACTTGTATTCTATTTGTCACATATGTTCTTTGTTCTTGTATTTTTCCTTTTTTTGTTTCTTTTGAAATAACAAGTAATTTTTTTCCTCTTTTATTGTCTTGTCGATTAAGGCTTTTCTTTTTAGTAGTTGTCTTAGAGTTTGGAACATGTATCCTTGGTATATTAAGTTCTGCCAGTCATCTTTTGTCTGTAAATCCCTCTGTTTTGCCTTCATGTTCAAAGGCTGTTTTCACTACCACTTATTTATTTTTCAATGCTTCAATTACTGTCTTCTGGATTTCTTTCTTTTATTTTTTTTACAGTTGAACAGTAAGTAGCTTCTCTTGTTGCTTCTTTGGGCTATCTCTTTTTACCTCTGGCTGCTTTAAAGATTGTTTCCTTTGTTATATATTCTGCCCTATTGACTGGGACTCCCATCTGTACACATGTTGAATCTTTTCATTGTCCCATATTTCTGATGCCATTACTGTGGTTTTCAAACTTTTGTTGTGATGAATCTTTGTACTTCAGTGTGCCTGCTCTCTACTTATATTTATTAAAAATCTTCTACCCTGCTAGGAAATTACTCTCATGAATTCTTAATTTCAGTTATGATTTTTTATGATTTATTTTAGTTTTATTTAAAGATTTCAGGTCTCTGCTTTATTTCTTCTTTTCTTCTATTTAGCATATTAACCATAGTTATTTTGAAATGTTCCCCTCTGTCACCTCCAATATGTAAATCACCTGTGTTCTATTTGTAGTGCCATTTTCTTTTCTTAGTTTTTGGTTCTTGGTCCTGTTTTATACCATGCCTCATATTGTCTGATAGAATCTGAATATTGGTATTCAAAATGTTGGGGCTGGGCTTGGTGGCTCATGCCTGTAATTCTGGCACTTTGGGAGGCCAAGGCAGGCAGATCACTTGAGGCCAGGAGTTCAAGACCAGTCTGACCAACATGGCGAAACCTCATCTCTAGTAAATAAACAAAAATCAGCCAGGCATGGTGGCATGCACCTATAATCCCAGCTACTCAGGAGGCTGAGGCACCAGCTCTGTCTCAAAAACAAGAAAAAAAAAAAAATCCCCAAACAAACAAAAAAACAAAATTGTTGTCTCAGGATCATGTTATTTTCCTTTTAAGAGAGTTAAGTTTTATTCTAGAATGTTGGCTTATTACACTGATTCTGCTAAAGCTTAGATTTGCCTTTGCTCCTAGAAGTGGCTATTTGGGATCTCAAGTTACAGTGTAGATACTGAGCAGAATCTTTTTACCTTAACCAGTCTTGAACGTTAACCCAGATTTCTTAGAATACTGTGTTCCTGCTGAAATCTATACTCTGTTCCTTTGTTTTTTAGAGTGTAATTCTGGTTTTGCACAATGCAGATGTTGACAAGTGTCTTGGAGAGAGTTCTGCATGCAGATTTTAGTTCACTTCTGTTTTCTTCTCTCAGGGATTTTACCCCCCAACTGCCAGCTACTTTGGCTGTTCTGAAGATTAGACCTATGTCTTTTCAGGACAGCCAGATTTCTGCTTTTTGTTAGGACTCTGCCCATAAGGCCAGAGATTGACAAATGCACCCAGGGAAAAAGATTGGTTGAATGTGGAGCTACCTATGCTGCTTTTTTCAGAGATTATTCTTCATTGCCCTTTGAACAATTGTTTTATACTGTAAAGTTTTTTTTTAAAAAAACCTTTATGGTAGTTTTTGGCAGGATACTCAGGACCTTGCATCTCTATCATGGCCAGGAATGGAATTCTGTGTCCATTTATATTTTAATAGAATTGCCTTAGATTAATTGTATTCAGATAGAAGAAATGCTTTTTGAGTAGCAGACTATATTTAAAGCATTGATTAGAATAATGAACTGTCTAAATAAAACTTATTCTTCTACATAAATAAAAGATGTTCAAAATTGGATAATTTAATAGATTTTACACAGAAATGTCAGTTTGGTGATATTTGTTTGGACATCAATATTTGATGTGAATTCAGAATTCAAATTATATTTTGGTAAAATAGAATTTTTACGGATAGTGCCTAATTTAGCTTAAGCCCTGGTTAAAATCTGAATTAAATGAAAACAGCCTTGAACTATTGTTCTTTACAATTTTTATAAAATGTCTGAATTTTATCATGGATAAGTGAATTTTTTCAGTAGACTTTTTATACTTTATTTTTCTTTATAAATAGATGTAGTCTTATAAATTACTATTCTTTCCTGAGGTTTTAAAAGAAAAAAATTGGTCTTTTAAATGACAGATATTTATCACTAGAGATATTAGTTAATTAAATATATGCTAGTACTGAGAAATCATATACTAAAACTTTAATATACCATATTGACATTGTGAAAATGAGTGTCATCTAGCAGTATTATTATACAGAAAGTTGTTAACAGAATTTTATCAATGATTAATATTTTGTGTATTGTTTAGGTGCATTGACATACAACAGAGCAACGAGGTAGAGAGGACACAAGCACTTCGATTAGTCAGAAAGGTATGTTCTATGTGTGAGAGTAAAAGGCAAATACATGATTTTTATGTTTACATTTTAAAGTAAGACGTTTGTGAAATCTTTATTAAGATTAAAGACTAAACTTTTAAACATTTTTATTACAGTTATATATTAAATAAATTCATTAAACTTGGAGGCAAACATAAATATATTGTGAAATTCTATATGATTGGGTATAGCTAGGACATTATTTCTTATAAATTGTTTATTGTGAAGAATATTTCTTACTCCAACAGACATGTAAATGTAATTACCGCTTTGATAAGTTACTGGAGAGAGAGGATTGCTTGCTCCCCATCCTGGTTTTCTCTTAATTGCATTCTTAGAGTTAATACTATTAAATGGATGTCACAAATAGTTAGAAGTTCATCATTTTAAAGATGAATTTGGATACAGTCTGTGGGCAGTTGCAATAAATAATTCAGGCCCTTGTATAGGATAAAAGGTCATAGCCTAAACTCCCCAAGATTGAGTGTTAAGAACAAACCATAATGCTAATCTCCTGAGAGGCCTTCAGTGAGTGCTTTGTTGTTTTACTTCATACCCTAATGGTGGAAGGAAGAGAGTGAACTGAGAGTAAATTCGGTTGGGACTCAGCTTGAGTGAGATAAGTGTCATATTTCATCTTAATGTTTCATGAGAATCATGAAGTATATGTTTGTTTGCGTAAAGATATCTGAAAATATTTACCAGTTGAATTTTCTAGTTCTTTTTTTCCCCCCTTCCTTTCAATTCATTACGTGTTCCAAAATGGTATACTGTTCAGTTCCTGTGTTAGCGAGAGTTCCCTCTTTTTCCCTTTTCTTAAAATTGTCTACCTTGTAGTTAGTAATAGTACCCACAGGTGAGCATAGTACCCACAGGTGAACATGGAAAGGAACAAGCAAATGGATGTGTTGAGTCTTAAAAGCAGTGTGATATTCTACTAAGAATGATACTGGAGATAGATTAGGAGACTGTTGTTATAGGTGAACTGTTACACTAGGATTGTAATTTGACTTTTCAAATTCAGATTTAAAATATGTATTGTTTTTATTTATACAATTCTTCCTTCTTCTATGACTGAGAATTAAAGATAAAACAAAATTCGTTTTTGAAGAACCTAGAACTTTTTTTTTTTTATTATTTGGGTTATATATGTCAGTATTTATCATATTAGGAATGAAAATATGTATTAATATGTTTAACAAACACATTAAATACAAACAACATTCTTATGAAAACTGTATTTTTTTCTTTTTTCAATAGTTTTTGGGGAGCAGGTGGGTTTTGGTTACATGGATAACTTATTTAGTGGTGATTTCTGACATTTTTGTGTACATATCACCCAAGCAGTGTACACTGTACCCCATATGTAATCTTTTTATACTTCACCTCCTCCCAAACTCCCCCCACCTCCAGTCTCCAAAGTTCATTATGTCATTCTTATGCCTTTGCGTCCTCATAGTTTAGCTCCCACTTATAAGTAGGGAACATACAATATTTGGTTTTTTGTTCCTGAGTTAACTTGACTTAGAATAATGACCTCCAATTCCATCCAGTTGTTTTAAAGACATCATTTCAATTGCTTTTATGGCTGAATAATATTCCATAGTGTATATATAACACCACATTTTCTTTATCCACTCATTGGTTGATGGACACTTAAGAATGTCTGTATTTTCCAAAAAATAAAATTAATGAGAAGAGTGCTATTGTTTTAGAGGTTTGCAACTCTTCTTTAATTTTGTTTTGATATACAAGTCAGTTGGATTATCATATTTGCTTCCGTATTCAGTCTGTTGTGATTACACATGAGGTGGAGTCCCTGGAAAACTTTAATACACATTTGTGAGAAAATAAAGGTAAAAAGGACAAATAATGTCTTTTTGTTGCTATGCAGAATCTCTGAAAATATCTTAAGGACCCCCAGAATTTCCTGGTCTACATTTTGAGCATCACTGCTCTAGAGACTGCTGTTGGAAGAAAAGACAATTTCAAATGGATTCAGACAAATAAATTCAACTTGGGATTTTATAGTAAATGTTTTACTTTAATTTTGTATTTTTGCACAAGTTAAAATTGAATTTAAAGTAGCTCAGTTTTTAATTGCTTAAAAATAATTTCATAGCCCGTAACAAAAGTATCGTTTCATTTGGTTGTCTTCTTAGATGCAGAGTAGTTGACTCACATACATTTGTGAATCGTAGAAGAGGAAAATTGCTGGTATTTGGTAGGGGGATATAGGATCAGAGGAAGAATTGTGTCACAGAGCCTTTCCTTGGTTTAAGCTAAAAAGGTTCGAGTGAGAGCACATTTGCTAAACAAACAGTGGCCTCTATCGGCCAGAGAAACTATAATTTCATTAGTACTTTAAGTATCTGAAGCACACTTTTTTTTTAAGTACTGTAAAACCTTGGCAACTGTATGACAGGTTGAATATTTCTTATCCAAAGTGCTTGGGGCCTGAAGTATTTCCCATTTTGGATTTTTTTGGGGTTTTGGAATATTTTTGTATACAAGATAAGATCTTGTGAATGAGACCTAAATCTAAACACAGAATTTATTTGTGTTTCATATACACTTTGTACACATATCTTAAAGATAATGTTGTATAATATTTTTAAGACTTTTGTGAGTGAAACAAAGTTTATATACATTGAGTCATCAGAAAGCAAAGTTATCAGATGCTGAATTTCCTACTTCTGGCATCATGTCAGTTCAAAAAGTTTTTGATTTTGGAGCATTTTGGATTTTCAGATTAGGGATGCTCAACCTACAGTAGAAAATAATGTTTAATACTATAATTACTATATCACTGAGTTTTTTTCTTTGTATGCATTCCAAAAAGTCTTAAAATTTGTTATAAAAATATTAGTCTATTATATCTTAAAGGATAAGGAAAAACATTTTTTGCTTTAGGATAACTTACACTATAATTAAGGAATTCTTATGTTACTTTTTCTTATTTTACCCATCTCATTCATTTGGAAATTTTCTGTCTTTCTGCTGTTTTCTTTTCCATGTTTTTAATTTTTTCTTTCTGTCTCCCCCTTCGAATGCAGGCAGCTCTTTTCTGGCTTTATCTCTCTCATTTTTAGTGTAATTTTTCTGCTAGTCAGTTGTTACTGTTCTTTTCCTAATGTTATTTAAATTCTACCTGTTGCCCACTTAATTTGAGCTGTCATTTTCTTCATATATAATTTTTTAATTCATGTAATAAAGAATTCCACAAACATTTTACATTTGAAAGAGATTTATTGGGTGGAATCACATGCCCTTGTTACATAGCAAGATAGTGGCAAAGCCAGAGCAAGAACCCTCGTCTCCGAGATTTCCACACCCACATTGACCCATGAGTTTTAAGTACAACTTGCCTACTTTGGCCTTCAGAGCCCAGTTTTGGTCCAACCAACCATTTCTATCTGTCATGTCTTATGCCACCGTGTGTAGACAGACTACCCACCACTGCCACCATAATTATTACTTCCTTCCTACTCTTCATTTCTAGCCCTTCTCACCTTACGTCGGTCTTCTAGTCTCAGCTCAAATATTAGATATTTCTCTTAGATAACTCAGTGCTTCTCTAATTCCTTGTGTCAGTTCCACAAATTTATTACCTAGTCATGGTCTTTAATTTGTTTTATATGTCTGTCCTGTCATGCCAGAAAGATTACTGAATTTTACAGTTTTAACACTGACAGCATTCTATGGCTTCTCCATTATGGAGCATTCATTGATTTATGAGGAAAGCATTCTCTGATTTACACACAATTTAAGAGTTTCTTTGCATGTATTTCCCTGGAAATAAGAGTAATTTTATTTGTAAAAATTTTATGTATCTGTTTCATAGCACAATCTGTTAAATTAAGTAAGTATATGTTTAGTGGACACATCTAGAATTTTATACTGGAAACTCTGGAAATCATTTGTTCATACATGTCTTCATTTTACAAATGAGGAAACTGAGGCACAGAGGATTGGTTTATTCAAGGTAACATAGTTTATTAATAGTAGACTTAATTCTAAAAACCATTTTGCCTGTTTTTTTAGCCAGCTCTTTACAGAATATATTACATGCATTTTGCTGCTTGGAGAAATCAAGCTCCATAGAATAATAATAAATCAGAAAGTATTAAGAGATTAATGTCATATCAGAATTCTTTCACCAGAAAGATCAATTTCCTATACCTCCTTCCTTCTCCCTTTCTTTTTCTTTTTCAATTAATTGAAAAAGAACTGACTTAGAAATGAATATGAATGCTTTTGTAGATTCAACAGTTATTGGAAATGTATTTGTTTTATGGTTGTAGAACTGTATAATTTCAGGTGAACTTTGTAATGTGACTTAATGATGCTTAAATGACATAAACCGTTTATAGCTACTTAAACAGATCTTTCTTTTGATTCTGTGTAAGACTTAACTGTGTATCTTTCATTTACTTATATTGCATCCTCTAATTGTTTTATCTCACAAGTTTTGTTTTTTCAACAGGACAGTAAATCCAGTGGCATCTGGATTAGATTAATTTTCTCTAATATTTTATTACCACACAAACAAAAGAAAATATTTTATTTCCATTCCAGGAACCTGCTATTTTGAAATTCTTAATTTGCAAAATAATCTTTATTTATGCAACAATAATTAACTATGTAATTTTCTTTATGTTTTCCAAATCAAAGACATATGTTACCGATTTTCAATATTCCAAATATGTTATTGACACTTAGACCTTTCATTTAATGTGAGCTTCATACACAATTTTATTACATAATATTTCCATCAGGATTTCCATCAGGATTTTTTAAATATTAAAAATAAATTTAGATTATGAACTCTGCTTTCTTTTATAGCAACAAGTAATTGATGGGGAAAGTAACTAGAGAGGAAGGACATCATTAGATATCTATTGCAGTAGTCTGAGTGAGAGTGAGGGCCCAAGTCAAACAATTAATTTGATGAGGAGAGGGAGTAAAGATAAAGATGTTATTGAAGTAAATTGGTAGGATTTGGTGATGATGGTATATGGAGAAATAGGATTGTATTAGTACAGCAGTATATTGACTACTATTGTCACCCCTGGTTTACCTTACCTAGAGACTGAAAAACTGTTTTAAGTTTTAGTCTCTATTCTACAGTAATTTAAAATCTCAGAACATTTGGTCAACGAATTTATAGTCTGTACTGCTAGAAAAAAATTTAACAAATTTTCCGTGGTAACAGCTATTAACATTTGTTATGTCAATTATTAGTTGTATTAATCTTTTTAAATACTCAGAAGAAGCAGAAGATTAAAATTGGTGCCTAGATCTTATTCTGGATCTTATTCTGTGTTATTAACTACCTCAGTCTGAACAAAATAGGTTTAAGAAATGTGTTACTAAAGTAACTTCTTTTTCTGATTCCTTCTGTTACAGATGATTACTGTGAATGCTTCCTTGTTTCCTAGTTCTGTAACCAACTCGTTAATTGCAGTTGGAAATGATGGACTTCAAGAAAGAGACAGAATGGTCCGAGCATGCATTGCCATTATCTGTGAACTAGGTCAGAATTTTCTTCAAGTAATAAAAATGTAACATTTTATAAAGGGTATATAACTACACACATACACACATTTTATTATACTTTAAGTTCTGGGATGTATGTGCAGAATTTGCAGGTTTGTTATATTGGTATACATGTGCCATGGTAGTTTGTTGCACCCATTAACCCATCATCTACATTAGATATTTCTCCTTATCCTATCTCTCCCCTAGTCCCCCACCCACCTACAGGCCCCAGTATGTGATGTTCCCCTCCCCGTGTCCATGTGCTCTCATTGTTCCGCTCCCACTTACGAGTGAGAATATTTGGTGTCTGGGTTTCTTTTTCTGTGTTAATTTGCTGAGAATGACGGTTTCCACCTTCATCCATGTCCTTATGTCCCTGCAAAGGACATGAACTCATCCTTTTTGTGGCTGCATAATATTCCATGCTATGTATGTGCCACATTTTCTTCATCTACTCTATCATTGATGGGCATTTGGGTTGGTTCCAAGTCTTTGCTATTGTGAATAGTGCTGTAATAAACATACGTATGCATGTGTCTTTATGGTAGAACTATTTATAATCCTTTGGGTGCATACCCAGTAATGGGATTGCTGGGTCAAATGGTATTTCTGTTTCTAGATCCTTGAGGAATGACAACACTGTCTTCCACAGTTTACACTCCCACCAACAGTGTAAACGCATTCCTATTTCTCCACATTGTCTCTAGCACCTGTTGTTTCCTGACTTTGTAATGATCACCGTTCTAACTGGCTTGAGATGGTATCTCATTGTGGTTTTGATTTGCATTCTCTAATGACCAGTGATGATGAGCTTTTTTCATGTTTGTTGGCCACATACATGTCTTCTTTTGAGAAGTGTTTGTTCATATCCTTTGCCTACTTTTTGTTGGGGTTGTTTTTTCTTGTAAATTTGTTTACATTCTTTGTAGATTTTGGATATTAGCCCTTTGTCTGATGGATAGATTGCAGAATTTTTTTCCCATTCCATAGGTTGCCTGTTCACTCTGATGATAGTTTCTTTTGCTGTGCAGAAGCCTTTTAGTTTAATTAGATCCCATTTGTCAATTTTGGCCTTTGTTGCTATTGCTTTTGATGTTTTAGTAATGAAGTCTTTGCTCATGCCTATGTCTTGAATGGTATTGCCTATGTTTTCTTCTAGAGATGTTATGGTTTTAGGTTTTACATTGAAGTCTTTAATCCATCTTGAGTTCCTTTTTGTGTAAGGTGTGAGAAACGAGTCCAGTTTCAGTTTTCTGCATATGGCTAGCCAGTTTCCCCCATACCATTCCTTTCCCCATTGCTTGTTTTTGTCAGGTTTGTCAAAGATCAGATGGTTGTAGATGAGTGGTGTTATTCTGATGCCTCTCTTGTGTTCCATTGGTCAATATCTCTGTTTTTTTTTTTTTTTTTACCAGTATCATCCTGTTTTGGTTACTGTAGCCTTGTAGTATAGTTTGAAGTCAGGTAGCATGATGCCTCCAGCTTTGTTCTTTTTGCTTAGGATTGTTTTGGCTATACGGGCTTTTATATGGTTCCATGAAATTTAAAGTAGTTTTTTTGTAATTTTCTGAAGAAAGTCAGTGGTAGCTTGCTGGGGATAACATTGACTCTATAGATTACTTTGGGCAGTATGGCTATTTTCACGATATTGATTGTTCCTATCCATGAGTATAGAATGTTTTTCCTTTTGTTTGTGTCTTTTTCTTATTTTCTTGAGCAGTGGTTTGTAGTTCTCCGTGAAGATGTCCTTAACAACCCTTGTAAGTTGTATTCCTGTTATTTTATTCTCTTTGTAGCAACTGTGAATGAGAATTCGCTCATGATTTGGCTTTCTGATTGTTTATTATTGGTATGTAGGAATACTTAGGATTTTTGCACTTTGATTTTGTATCTGGTGACTTTGCTGAAGTTGCTTATGCTTAAGGATATTTTGGGCTGAGGCGATGGGGATTTCTAAGGAGACCTGTCTCACATGCAAAGACACACATAGGCTCAAAATAAAGGTATAAAATCTGTTTTATCAGAGACTAAAATTGCAACATATGCTTTTTCTTGCCTTCCATTTGCTTGGTAAGCAAGGAATATTTCCAGGCAAATGGAAAGCAAGAAAAAGCATGGGTTGCAATTCTTGTCTCTGATAAAACAGATTTTAAACCAACAAAGAACAAAAATGACAAGGGCATTACATAATGGTAAAGGGATCAGTGCAACAAGAAGAACTAACTATCCTACATATATATGCACACAATACCGGGGCACCCAGATTCATAAAGCAAGTTCTTAGAGACCTACATAGAGACAAACTCCCACACAGTAATAGTGGGAAACTGTAACACCCCACTGTCAATATTAGATCAACAAAACAGAAAATTAACAAGGATGTTTAGGACTTGCACTCAGCTCTGGTACAAGCGGACCAAACAGACATCTACAGAGATCTCCACCCCAAATCAACAGAATATATATTCTTCTCAGCACCACACTGCACTTATTATAAAATTGATCACTTATTTGGAAGTAAAACACTCCTCAGCAAATGCAAAAGAACAGAAATCATAATAGTCTCTCAAACCACAGTGTAATCAAATTAGGACTCAGAATTAAGAAACTTACTCAAAACTGCACAACTGCATGGAAACTGAACAACCTGCTTCTGAAAAACTACTGGGTAATAATGAAATTAAGGCAGAAATAAATAAGTATTTTGAAACCAGTGAGAACAAAGACACAATGTACCAGAATCTCTGGGACACAGCCAAAGCAGTGTTTAGAGGGAAATTGATAGCACTAAATACCCACAGGAGAAAGTAGGAAAGATCTAAAATTGACACCCTAATATCACAATTAAAAGAACTAGAGAAGCAAGAGCAAATAAATTCACAAGCTAACAGAAGATAGGAAATCACTAAGATCAAAGCAGAAATGAAAGAGGTATAGACAAGAAAAGCCCTTCAAAAAAATCAGTGAATCCAGGAGCTGGCTTTTTGAAAAGATTAACAAAATAGATAAACTGCTAGCCAGACAGACTAATAAAGAAGAAAAGAGAGAAGAACCATAGAAACACAAAAATTGATAAAGGGGATATCATCACTGATCCCACAGAACTAAAAACTAGCATCAGAGAATACTATAAACACCTCTATGCAAATAACCTAGAAAATCCAGAAGAAAGTGATAAATCTTTGGAGACATATACCCTCCCAAGACTAAACCAGGAAGAAGTCAAATCCCTGAATAGACCAATAACAGTTTCTGAAATTGAGGCAGTAATTAATAGCCTATCAATCAAAAAAAGCCCAGGACCAGATGAAATCACAGCCAGGTTCTACCAGAGGTACAAAGAGGAGCTGGTACCATTCCCTCTGAGACTATTCCAAATAATAGAAAAAGAGGGACTCCTCCCTAACTCATTTTAGGAGGCCAGCATCATCCTGATACCAAAACCTGGTAGAGACACAACTAAAAAAGAAAATGTAAGGCCAGTATCTCTGATGAACATTGATGTGAAAATTCTCAATAAAATACTGGCAAACTGAATCCAGCAGCACATCAGAAAGCTTTTCTACCATGATCAGTCGACTACATCCCTGCGATGTGCAGGACTGGTTCAACATACGCAGATCAGTAAACATAATCCATTACATAAACAGAACCAATGACAAAAACCACATGATTATCTCAATAGATAAAGAAAAGGCCTTTGATAAAATTCAACACCCCTTTATGCTACAAACTCTTAATAAACTAGGTATTGGTGGAATGTATCTCAATAATAAGAGCTATTTATGACAATTCCACAGCCAGTATACTGAATGGCAAAACCTGGAAGCATTCCCTTTGAAAACTGGCACAAGACAAGGATGCCCTCTCTCACTTCTCCTATTCAACATAGTGTTGGAAGTTCTGGCTAGGACAATTAGGCAAAAGAAAGAAATAAGGGGTTTTCAGATAAGAAGAGAGGAAGTCAAATTGTCTCTACAGCTGACATGATTGGATATATGACATTTTTAAGGCCTTTAATACATGAATTATTTAGGTATAAAAATAGAAAAAAGTAGTACATTTCTGATAGGGAAGTAGAGAACTTGTTATTTAACAAAGAATTTCAGTGTGACATTTCTATAAATTTTGAACTTGTATTCATCATTAAATTTAGTATAGAAATTGTCTAAATTCTAGTACTATTATGTAATAGAATCTACTAAAGTCTGGCTCGCTAACATTAATTATTCTGTATGTTTGTATTAGTTCCTTTTCACACTACTATGAAGGACTACCTGAGACTGGGTAATTTATGAAGTAAAAAGGTTTAATTGACTCAGAGTTCTGCAGGACTTGGGAGACCTCAGGAAACTTACAATCGTGACAGAAGGTGAAGGAAGTGAGGCATGTCTTACATGGCAGCAGGAGAAAGAGTGAAGGGGAAGTGCCACTTTTAAACCGTCAAATCTTGTGAGAACTCACTCACTATCATGAAAACAGCATGGGGAAAACCGCCCTGCAATCCAGTCACCTCCCACTGGGTCCCTCCCTTGACACATGTATCCTATAATTTGAGGTGAAATTTGGATGGGGACACAGCCATACCAGTTTTGATGTGGGTTAAAAATGGTAAACAATCCACTATGCATTAAAAAATGAAGTCTAAGTGCAAAAACATGAAAGGGCTAAAAAGGGAAAAAAACGGGGGCCCAGTGGGCAGCATTCATGAATATTTTTCTGATTATTGGAAGGAAAAGGAGTTTTGAGTTGTCAAAAGAAATCACACAGGGATTTTAGAAGCTATTAGGTTTTACTATAAGGAGTCAAGAAAACAAGCAGTGCCAAAACAATCCAATAAAAAAGTAAATGTAACAAGTAAATTAAGTATTTATATAGAAACCAGTAGGAAAACAAATACAGTTGGCCCCTTGTATCCACAGGTTTCATATCCATGGATTCAACCATCTGCAGTTCTAAAACATTCAGAGGAAAGAAAAAGTACACATTTTAAAATACAGTATAACCATTTACATAGAGTTTACATTGTAGGGTATTATAAGTAATCTAGAGGTGATTTAAAGTATATGAGAGAATGTGGGTAGGTTATATGTAAATACTATCCCTTTTATATAAACGACTTGAGCATCTGAGAATTTTGGTATCATATGGGGCTGTGGAACCATTTCCCTGTGGATACAGACTGATGACTGTAATTCTCAAAGAAATGCATGGCTAAACAACATATTTTGAAAGTTCAGTCTCACTTATTATCAAAGAAATATAATTTTAAGTGATAAGAAAAGGTATTTTTTTCACCACCTAAAGTAGGACTGGTGTTGGTTATATTCCCTTTTAAGATAAATGATAACAAAAGTTTAAGCTAAAAAAAAAAAGAGAACCAAAACCTACCATTGAGGATTTAAAATAGTGACCACAATGCCTGTTGAGTCAGAACTGTGATTAAGGAAATTTAAAAATAAAAATAAAACTTGACTGTGCACCAGTCTGTAGGACTGCCTGGTTACCTGGAGAGCTATCTCAGTTAATTTTTCGTCATAAAGCACATTATAATTAAGCAGAAAATAAGTGAGTGAATCATTATAACTCAAGAAATACCAAAAGAAGAAGAAGAAAAATAAAATTCCATGTTAAGCAGATGGAGAAAAACCAATAAAATTAAAAGTCTTAATTAGTGAACAAGATAGATTATGTAATCTAAATTGTTAATTGGATGAAGAAAGTAAAATCCACAAATGTTTGGAAAACTCAAAGGTTAGAAATAAAAAAGATTAATAAATGAGGAAGAGAATAGTTTTTATATGTATTTGGAAATTTAATAAAATTAATGGATTTTCAGGATAAATTTTAATTTCCAGTTACAAATTATAAAGTATGAATAGTTCAAAAGCTGTAGAAGTATTTGAAAATATTGATGAAATAATTGCCTCCAAAAAATGCATCCAGGTATTTTTGTTTTAAAAAAACAACAGGTAATTAGTGTAATCTGATTTAAAGCATTAAAAAGTTAGAAACCGGCCGGGCTCGGTGGCTCAAGCCTGTAATCCCAGCACTTTGGGAGGCCGAGGCGGGTGGATCACGAGGTCAAGAGATCGAGACCATCCTGGTCAACGTGGTGAAACCCCGTCTCTACTAAAAATACAAAAAATTAGCTGGGCATGGTGGCGCGTGCCTGTAATCCCAGCTACTCAGGAGGCTGAGGCAGGAGAATTGCCTGAACCCAGGAGGTGGAGGTTGCAGTGAGCCGAGATCGCGCCATTGCACTCCAGCCTGGGTAACAAGAGCGAAACTCCGTCTCAATAAAAAAAAAAAAAGTTAGAAACCTACACATTTCTTATTATGCAACTAGCATTTTATGTACATGTACACAGATATACATGTACCCAGATACATAAATAATTAGAAGGCTACTTTGTTAACATTCCAGAATATTTAACTCAAATGAACAATCAAAGCTATTCTTAATGGTTAATTTCTACAAATACCACATTCTTATAACTATTAATTAGCATTATTTAAAAACTTTTAGCCAGGTTATTTTAAAACTTTTAGCCAAAATAATAAAATATGTTCATATATTTGAAAGGAGACAGTGTTACATTGTTAATGGTATCATATATAAAAAACTCTTTAATCAATGAAAACCAACTTAATTTCAGGTAGTAGAACCATGTTAAAACACAGAGTTGACAGATTTTTGTGTTTCAGTAATAATTAGTAATTATAATAGAAAAAGCAATACTATTTTTAAAGTAGAAAAGAAAATATATAAGACAAATTGTTGAAGTGTGTATGACATATGTGTGTGATTGGGGAGTATGTTTGAATTTGTCAAATTGCTTCTCAAGAAGACAACAACTAATCTATAAGGGTAGAAATGAGAATGGTGGCTGCCTGTGCAGTGGAAGACTCACTGGAAGGTAATGTGAGAGAGCTTTCTAGGATAATGAGAGTTCTGTACATTGAGTGGGACATTGTTCATAATTTATTCAACTTTACCATTAAGATCTATGATTTTACTGAACGTAATTATAACTCATTTTAGAAAACTGAAGAAAAAAACTTGATTCTAAAACTTCTTCGAAGAATAAACAGTCAAGAACCAACCATGAAAACATTTTTGAAAAAGTAAAAAACATTTTTGAAAAAGAATATATAATTTTGGGCTGGGTGCAGTGTCTCATGCCTGTAATCCCGGCACTTTGGGAGGCCGAGGCGGGTGGAACACAAGGTCAAGAGATCGAGACCATCCTGGTCAACATGGTGAAACCCCATCTCTACTAAAAATACAAAAAATTAGCTGGGCATGGTGGCGTGTGCCTGTAATCCCAGCTACTCAGGAGGCTGAGGCAGGAGAATTGCCTGAACCCAGGAGGCAGAGGTTGTGGTGAGCTGAGATTGCACCATTGCACTCCAGCCTGGGTAACAAGAGCGAAACTCCGTCTCAAAAAAAATAAAGAAGAAGAATATATAATTTTAAACTGTTAACCTAGATTTTTAAGGGAGAGAAAAATGAAAGAGAATCAAGAGTTGCTGACCCTGGTAAATGAAAATTTTAATGTATCATAAAGTACAAAAACCAGTTTGGCAAGTATGCCAGGATAATTGATTAAACATTTGGGAGGGGGAAGATTGTGTTTGTCATCTTAACAAAACTCAACTTTGAAACAGATTGCAAACTGAAATGTAACTAAATCATGAACTCTTTTAAAACACCTACCTACATGTACACATATACAAAGAAATGTCTGATCTTTGCAGTAAGAAGTTTCTGAGCTTAAAATTATTAAAACTGTGTGTTCTGTTTGTATGTTTAATAAAAATATAGAGAAATGAGGTATACAATTTTAAACAAAATCTGAAGTCACAAATGAAAAACTTGAAACAGATGAATGGCTAATATCCCTACTTTATAAAGAACTCCCCGCAATTGATAGGAGAGAAAAGCCATTCCAGTAATATATGGACAAAGGTTATGAAAAGACAATCCAAAGATATTTTAAAAATCAGGTTGTGGGGGAAGTATATTCAGTAACTCTTATTTTATCCACTTGTCCTTTTATCCACCTGTTCTTATAAATGTTGTTGATTAGAAAGTTTTTCAAGTCAGAAAGGCAATTAAATTTTAAAGCGCAGATTTTTTATTACTTTTAATATTACCACAAATATAATATGTTAAGTTTTTCTCTTTTATTTTAGCACTTCAGAATCCAGAGGTGGTGGCCCTTCGAGGTGGACTAAACACCATCTTGAAAAATGTGATCGATTGCCAATTAAGTCGAATAAATGAGGCCCTAATTACTACAATTTTGCACCTTCTTAATCATCCAAAGACTCGACAATATGTACGAGCTGATGTAGAATTAGAGGTAGGAACTTTAATATTCTTTTCTAGTTTTAAAATATCATTTTAAATGCTTATTCTTACATTGAAATACTAAATTCTGTAGATACAGCACCACATTAATTATCAAGCCTAAATTAACTGAGACTGATTTATTCCCAGCTATATTTTACAGCTCATTCAGTTTGTACTGAATTGAAAACATTACTTTTAAGGATTTAATCAATGTGCAAAGTAAATTTAATTTTTGTATTATCTATGAAAAGTTTATGAAGCAAATTAAGGTACAAATAATGTTACGAAATTTACTTATTTTAAAAATACCATTTACTTGTAAGGCCTTTAGTACATTGTGTGTGAATAGCTCCTGCTAATTGTACAGTATTTTATGAAACCTACTAAAATTCTCTGAAGTTGAAAGTACTTTGTTAGCAACTAATAATATCTCCTTGAAAGAAAGCCTATATATATATTTTGTAAATTCATTTTAAATTTTTTACTGATTTAAGTAGGGTTTATTGCAGTTAGTCAAAAGTAATAAGGCTACTGTATACTTGATAAAGTACGTAGTAGAGGTTAGAACAGAATTATGCGCTGTATTATAGTTTCTTCCTGTGCATATGTTGCATTGTTGTCTTTTGAATATAGTATTTGGAGTCAGTTTAAATCAAGAATTTGTTTGTTTTTAGTTATGAAATCATGCACGATGTAAAAGATTGATTGTCCCCTAATTTGTTTTTGCACATCGTTTTATGAAACTTAAGTGTTCGGTTTTTATCAGATTATTTTTAAAAACACTTCACGTTATGCATTTGACAGCCTATATTATTAATTAACAATTTTAGTATAATATTCTTAATAAGTGATTTCAAGTACATTATTCATAGGAATCCTATGGAAATAAACTGGCACTGTTGATATTTTATAATAGTTTAGCTTTAATTTTTTTCTTATCAAGTAAGAAAACTATAATTTTAAAATTGAAGAGATGAATAATAGATAATATGTATAGGCTCTGTGTTTTTTGTTTTGTTTTGAGATGAGGTCGGTCTTTGTTGCCCAGGCTTTAAGTGCAGTGGCACAATCACGGCTCACTGCAGCCTAGACCTCCCGGGCTCAAGTGATTCAGCTTCCATCTCAATCTCCTGAGTAGCTGGGACTACAGGCATGTGCCACCACACCCAGCTAATTTTTGTATTTTTTGTAGAGATGGGGTTTCCTCATGTGGCCCAGGCAGGTCTTGAACTCCTGAGCTCGTGCAGTCCACCCTTTTCAGCCTCCCAAAGTGCTGGGCTTATAGATATGAGCCACTGTGCCCGGCCAGCTGCATATTTATTCCTGTATGTTATACAGCGGATTAGCAAAGCCTTTATAGAAATAAAACAAACCTCAAACACAGGAAGACCAGAGGTCTACTTAGTCTTATCAAAATTGCATTGTAGCCTCAGTTTAGCTCAGTTGGGCATTAGGAAAAGGTGATCAGTTCCCTTAATCTACCTGTCTAGCAGAGGAAAGAATAAACCATCTCTAGTGGGAGATAACATCACTTGGAGCCTTTTGTGAAGTGCACAATTCATGACAAGTTTCTAGTCATATAAAAAGACATGACTATATGAGTGAAAACCCAAAAGAAAAAAACAATCAATAGAAACACACTTACAAGTAATTCAAATAGAGGAAAAAGATATTAAAACAATCATGATTAATTTGTTCAAGAAAAAAATATATGAAGTAATGGAGAATTTCACTTATATAATTGGATATGTGAAAAGAAATGGAAATTCTAGTACTGAAAATATATCTGGAATTCAGAGCACAATGAAATTAAAAATTCAGTGTGAACAAGAAGATAGTAAACTGAAATTAAGTCAATAAAAATATCCAGGGGTAAAACAAAAATAATGTTAATTCACACACAGTAAAGCACAAAGAGAAAAAAGAAAGAAATTGAACAGCACAAAAGGGATAAAACATAATTGTAGTCTTTGGAGAGAAAAAATTGGCAGAAGCAAAGATCCAGAGACAGTGGCCAAAACTTTGTTTCTAAAACTGATAAAGCTTCATGTTACAAAGCTCAGAAAACAGCTAAGATAAATAATACATAGGGAGGAACTGAGCCCTCTTGCCAACAATCAGCATCTTGTGAATGGAACTTCTTGTTGTAGATCCTGAAGCTCCAGTCAGGCGTTGAGGTGACCGCAGGCTTGGCCAACACTTGGACTGAAATCATAGGAGACCTTGAGCCGTAACCATGTAGCCAAGCCTCTCCTTGATTCTTAAGTCACTGAAACTTTAATAAATATGATTTGTTGTTAAAAAAAAAAAAAAAGGCCGGGCGCGGTGGCTCAAGCCTGTAATCCCAGCACTTTGGGAAGCCGAGGCGGGCGGATCACGAGGTCAAGAGATCGAGACCATCCTGGTCAACATGGTGAAACCTCGTCTCTACTAAAAATACAAAAAATTAGCTGGGCGTGGTGGCGCGTGCCTGTAATCCCAGCTACTCAGGAGGCTGAGGCAGGAGAATTGCCTGAACCCAGGAGGCGGAGGTTGCCGTGAGCCGAGATCGCGCCATTGCACTCAAGCCTGGGCAACAAGAGCGAAACTCCGTCTCAAAAAAAAAAAAAAAAAAAAAGAGGGAGAGAGACATATAAAAAAGGCTAAACAAAATCCTCAATTAAAAGGAAAATGACCTAAGACAAAGAAATTCAGGAAGGAATGAAGAGCACCAGTAAAAGTAAGTATATGACTGGATTTAAAATAATCATGACTGTTAAATGCAATTATTAATCTCTTATATTTTATATTATATTTAGAATTAAAATCTATGTCTGTAGTAATGCTGTAGGCAAGATGGGAAGGTTCTTAATAAACACAGTAGTTTTGAAGTAGCTGGTAATCCCAGTTACTCTGGAGGCTGAGGTAGGAGGATTACTTGAGCCCAGGAGTTCAAGGTTGCAGTAAGCTATGATCATGCCACTACACATTAGTCTGCGCAATAGAGTAAGGTCCCACCTCTTAAGTTTTAAAGTAATGAGTTACTTTTAGCAAGGTTGCTGAATACAAGCAGCAACACACAAAAATAACTTGGATTTTCTTTATACAAGCAACAAAAGGTAATGCAGTTTATTAAATAGAATTAAATAATTTTCAAAGACAGGCAAAACTAATCATAGTGTCAAAAGTCAAGACGGTTATCTTGGGATAGATACTGATTGTGACTACCGTCTGTCTACATCATACCACTCTGAACATACCCAGTCTTATCTGATTGTGACTACAAAGGTGTAATAGAGCTTTGAGGTGGCCAATAATGTTTTCTTTATCAAGTGCTAGTTACATGAGTGTGCTTAGTTTGAGCAAATCACTGTTTTAGATACATGTTAAACCTCAGTTTAGAAGTTCAAAACTTCAATTTGTACATTAAAAAAAAATCACCCAACATATTCTTCCGTGATGAGTTAGAACAAATAAGTCCCTCAAGCAGTAAACCCATTAAAGATAGCGAGAAATGGAATGAATTTTAGCTTGTGATAGGAAGGATGCGTTTTAAAATAAAGATTGTTTTCTTCTTTTTTTTTAATTAGAGAATTTTAGCACCCTATACTGATTTTCACTACAGACATAGTCCAGATACAGCTGAAGGACAGCTTAAGTAAGTAAAATTGGTTCCTAATAATTTTTAAGAGAATGCATATGTTAATACTAAAGTTTCTAGGTTTGTGTGATGGCTTCTACTGCCAGAGAAATGTGAGTTTAAATATATGTTCTATTTTACAGAATTATGTTGTATTTCTCTCATAATTTATTGTGATTTAAAAAATTTAAAGCTTTGAGAAACTTCACAAAAAATATATGGTAGACTAAGACAGAAACCAAGGTCGTTGTTTTTGTATTGTATATATTTTAGCATAACTACATTAAAAAAACTAAAAGAATGAAGTAGTGGGCAGTAGAATGAAGAGTTAACTTACTGAGTCAGCAGAATGATGTAATATGTAGAATTCTGAGATTAAGGTTCATGCAGAAATAAATGAGTAGAATAAATATTGTTATGTAGAAATGAGCCAGTATAATTTTCAGAGTGATTTTGGAGAGAAAGGCACATATTCACTACGTATATGGAGATAATTTGGGGAGCAAATAAAGCACTCTCTGTAACAATTTTGCAAATGACACAATTCCATTAAATATGCTATCTAGTGTTTTTCTGGTAGACTTTATTGCAGGCATAAACTTATTGTGATACATAGTATAGGTTTTTAAATTCCTCACTACATTTTGGAACATTGCCAGGGGAATGTTTTTATTGTTTTTTATTTTTTCCCTAAGTTAAAAATAGTGATTTCATACCTTCAATCTCATCCGTCACTGTGAACTCATCATACCCTAACATAACATAATCTACTTTGAGCTAAGAGATAAAGTAGATGTCCTCAAAGACTTCTCAGACTTATTTTTGCAAACTTTAGCTATGAATTGGAATTCGTAAGGCCCTTTCTTGGCTTCTTTGGAGATACAGATACTCTCTTACTGATGGAGAGTATATGAGTTTTCTGTTGCTGCACACCAAATAACAACAAGCATAATGGCTTAAAGCAATACCAGTTTATTAGATCACACTTTGATAGGTCAGAACTCTGGCTGAGCTTTTGCCTGGGGGCTCTGGTGAAGAATCCATTTCCAAGATAATTCAGATTGTTGAGAAAATTTAGTTTCTTGTTACTGTACAGCTGCTATGCCTTTTTCCTTACTGACTGTCAGCTGGGGCCTAGTATTATCTTCTAGATACCTCCCACATTCCTCTGCACGTGGTCTCCTCCCTCTGTAAAGGCAGCAACAATGCTAGAATCTTTCTAGTGCTTTCCGCCTCTCTGACATCTCTTTGACTACAGGTAGAGAAAGCTGTCTAATTAGATCAAGCCTGCTATATGCCATATACCCTGTCTTTTGCTCTCCAGCCAGTATAACATAAACATAGTCACAGGCATAGCAGTGATATCATATTCACAGGACCCAAAGATCAGGTAATGGAATCTTGGGTTAGAGCCATTTATAGAATTCTGCATACGACGATGAACAATAGGTGAATTTAGATATTTTTTAGAGTTGGGTGGGTGGGGCTATTCTATCAGAATCCTTCCTTTCCTGTTTGGTTCTGCACTTTGTTCTAGGTTTCGGGAGTATAAGCAGGTAGATTATCAGGCCTATAATAAATAAGGGTACATTCTTTCCAAGGAAGAAGGACAATGACCAATTTTTAAAGTATTACCAGTTTAATAGGTTAATCAATGTATGTCACTAACTTTTTTAAGAGAAAGAACGCTGAAAGCTTAATCGCACAGGTGTCTGATTCTTCCTTCTTCCAAACCAGCCCTATGATATAGCCTCACAATTTTAAGTTCTGTTATTTTCTCATTTTAACTGGTGCTGCTTAGCTTAGTCTTTTTCTTTGAGCTTTTCAATTCACTTTTGTAGACTGTCTAATTGCTCACTAATACCTAATCCTAATTTGATTTTATGTCATTGCTCTTTGATTTCTTCTACTTTTTGTTGCTGTTTTTCCCAGTTCTGTGATTTTCTATATGCTCACAACCATTAAGAATTTAAGTAAGAAAAAAAAAAGGTGGCACAGGAAAAAAGGGACAGTCAGCAGGGTAGACATGGTGGTTGGAGTGACATAAATAAAGAGACACAAAATTGCTATTAAGTATTGAAACTGGCCATAAGCCAACCATGAAAAATGCTTAACAGATATAAATTTCACTTGCTTAATTAATTGTCATAACTATTATATAGAAAGGAATAATTGACACAGTTGGGTACACAATCGTCAAGAAAGTAGCTAGCTATGTTAATATATAGTTATTTCATAACATTTCAGTGCCTACATAGGTTGTTGAACTTGCATGTTGGAAACATTCAAATAAGTTTAGAGCAAGGATTTTGAAGTAAAGAGTGGCTGTGATTAAAATTAAGAGGTTTATGTGGTAATTTTCTTTGCTAAGGGGCAGCCTAGTACCATAGATGCTTATTAATCAGACTTAATAATGCTTAATTAAAACTTATCTAAGAATAGTTTTCAGAGAGAGCAGGAATATAGAACTGAGTAGAAAAGCAGAATTTATTACTTAAATGATGTAAATTTTAAGTTCAAAGTCAGTTCATAGTTGGCTAATTCGCTTTAGTGTAGATCTGGTCTTCGTGTTTTTTAATGTCTTTTAATTTTGTGTGTAAGTGTTTAAACATTAGTGGTAGCTCTTATTATGATTTAATAGCAGGAAAAAACTCATTTTAACATTTTATTTCATCGATTCTCCCCGCTGCTTCTCACTCGGCCGGCAACAGAGAAGACAGAGAAGCACGATTTCTAGCTAGTAAAATGGGAATCATAGCAACATTCCGATCATGGGCAGGTAGGTTGCTCTGCATTGCTTTATAACATCCAAGAAGAAAAACTAGACTGCTTTTTCGAATGTTAAATTATTATTGTAGCATCTAATTTAGATGTTAATCTAGTCTTTATATGCTATTATTAGAACCAATTTCTCCTGGAGACTTTTTATACTGATTCATCATCAGAAACTTAGAGGAGTGTGGCCAGGTGCGGTGGCTTACACGTGTAATCCCAGCACTTTCGGAGGCCAAGGCAGGCGGATCACCTGAGGTCAGGAGCTCGAGACCAGCCTGGCCAACATGGTAAAACCCTGCCTCTATTAAAAATACAAAAATTAGCCAGGTGTGGTGGCAGGTTCCTGTAATCCCAACTACTCAGGAGGCTGAGGCAGGAGAATCGCTTTAACCCAGGAGATGGAGGCTACATTGAGCTGAGATCACGCCACTGTTACTATAGAGTAGGTGACAAAGCAAGACAATATCTCAAAAAAAAAAGAAACTTTGAGGGGTGGGAGTCTTCTACCTTTCTATTGAAGTAAGAAGAGAAATATCAGTATTATAAGTTAGAACCTTGAAAGCCTTTGTCTCATGGAAATAACTTCCTAAATAATATTTATATTCTGTAGTACTATTTATAAGTTAAATAAACTTTTGTGTACTTGTAATGTTACCTCTGTGATGTAATGTATTTCCAGTTCCAAATAACTGATTGAAAAATGACCTTTTAGAACACATTTTTTATGAGATGGAACAGCCTGTTTTTCATATTAGCACAGAGTACGATCTTTTGAGACTATTTCTTAATCCGAAATGTCTCAAACTACTATCAAACATCAAAATTTGAGAAATACGATTTTGATACTTGAAGCAAGTTTACCTAGTGTGTTTTAATTTGATTTTTGATCCTGAATCTAAAGAGAACATATAGACTGTTCATAAATATACATGTGCTTAGCTAGAAGTACAGGGAACTTTGGAGTCCTGTAACTTTTTGAAGAATGTTTTCCCTAACATGTCATGAAAAATTTGAAACATTCAGAAAAATTGAAAAAACTATACAGTGAACACCCATATACTTCCGCCTAGATTTTACTGTATTTGCTTGCATTATATATCTGTCCGTGTATCCATCCCCCTAGGCATTCATCAGTGCATATATGTTATTCTAATATATCTGAAAGGAAGTTTCAGACAGTAGTCCTCTTCACTCCTGAACAGTGCAGCATGCACGTTATTAACTAGAATTAGATGTTTGTTTATGATCCTGATTTGTTTGTTTTTGGGGAGAGATATTTGAGGTAAAATTTACGTACAGTGAAATGCACACATCATTAGTCTGCTGTTTGATGTGTTTTGACAAATGCTTACACCTTTGTAATTCAAACCCTTTACAATATATAGAACATTATCATCGTCCCAGAAAGTTCTCTTACACTCTTTCCTACTCAGTTTTTGACTCTGTATCCCCAGGGAGGAACCACCATTATTATTTTTATAGATTAGTTTTGCCTGTTCTGAAACTTAATATTGGTGGAATCATACTGATACAAAGACTTTTATGTAAGGCTTCTTTCACTTGACATATTGATTTTGATACTCATTTATGTTATTGTATCTACCAGTAATAGGTTCACTTTTTTTGCTGGGTAGTATTTCATTTGATGAACATATGAGTTTTTGTTGTTGTTATTGCTGTTTTTAGCCCTCCTCCTGTTAAGGAACATTTGACCTGTTTTCTAGTTTTGACTATTCAAAGCTCCTATATCAAAGATAAAGCTTCTTTGAGCAATTTTGTACAAGCTTTTTTTGTAGATGAGTTTTCATTTCTCTTGAGTAAATACCTAAATGGAATTGCTGGGTCAGAGAGTGGATGCATGTTTATGTCTGTGAGAAACTACCAGACATTCTCCCAAAATACTTAAGACTGTTCTATATTCCCATCATCAGTGTATGTGAGTCCCTGTTGTTCTGTATCCTTGTCAGTATTTGGTGTTGAGGGTCTTTAATTTTAGCCATTCTAGTAGGTATGGTTTGGTTTCTTGTTATTAATATAGTTTATTTCCCTGATGACTAATGATACTGAGCATTTTGTGTGTGTTTATTGGCTATTCATATGTCTTTTGTGACATGGTTTTATTATGTTTAAAATTATTGAACTTAGAACTCTGTAACTTAAAAAGTTTGAACCATATTATTTATTTGAAGTCTGTTGCTTGTACTTATCTGTGCATTCAATGTATTTTAGAATTGATCTCTTAAATAGTAAATGCCAAGCAGATTTTTTCACTTCAAAGTGAGGAGCGTAAAAGGGGGAGGACAGACCATTGTCTTATTCTCTTCCATGTTCTTACTCCCAGAGAAACGTTCATCAGGCAGTCAGACTTACGAACTTTTTGGATATGAAACGGATACTGAAGGTGGAATTTAAGTGATGAAATTATTTGTAATCTCTAATCAATACAGAAATACAGAGAATGCTTGAAATATATTTCAGTTATGTAATAGCTTTTATGATAGCCAAATAGTATCACAATTATATAGTTTTGCTTAGAAAAATATCACAGGTTATATATTATACATTGCTATAGAAATCAAGTCAGTGATTTTTTTTTTCTTTTTATCCTCTTTAGGTATTATTAATTTATGTAAACCTGGAAACTCTGGGATCCAGTCTCTAATAGGAGTACTTTGCATACCAAATATGGAAATAAGGGTAGGTAAAAGTTAGTAAGATTGTTTCATTCCTGGACCTTTAAATTAATTCCTGGAAATTAATTACATAAAAAAATTATTTCAGGTGATGCTTTTTCCTCATTAGTTGTTAATATATGTCATATTTTAAAAATATATGAGTAAATATTTACTACTTAGTTAAACCCTAAATACAAATAGGAATCATTTAAAATATTGCTATTGTTAGGAATGATGGCTGTATTAAAAATTGAGTTGAGACCAGGCACGGTGGCTCACGTCTGTAACCCCAGCACTTTGGGAGGCCAAGGCAGGTGGATCAGGAGTTTAAGACCAGCTTCCTCAATATGGTGAGACCCCATCTCTACTAAAAATACAAAAAATCAGCCAGGCATGGTGGTGGGCACCTGTAATGCCAGCTACTCAGGAGGCTGAGACAGAAGAATCACTTGAACTTGGGAGGTGGAGGTCGCGTTGAACTGAAATGGTGCCATTGCACTCCAGCCTGGGCAAGAAGAGTGAAACTCCATCTCAAAAAAAAAACCAAAAAACCAAAAACAACAAAAAATTGAGATGAAAATATGAACTTAATTAGGCTTTATTCATTAAAACAATGTAAACAACACACAAGAGCATTCTTACTGTAAAAGGTTCAAGCACTACAGACTACATTTAACAAAAAGTAAATGCATTTAGTTATGCCTTCTGATTTATGTTTTATTACATGTGAGATTTTATTTCGACAGTGGTGGTTTTTATTAAACGAAGTTGTTAATATTTCTTTATTAGATGTATTTTAAAATTATTTGTAAGCATTTGGATTATACAGTTAAATTGAATTTGAAGGAAAAGAGAATTAATTCTTAAAGTGATTTTTTTTTTCCTTTCTTCCTAAATGTTTTTATTTAATTTTGTTTCTTCCTTTTGCCCTTTCTTATATAAACCAAACCTGGAACTGAAAAATATTGTTAGAAAATATTAGCCTGGTGTGCCTTGTTTAAATATGAAATAAAAAGTATTTAGATAATGGAAATGGAAGGATATATTATAAATGGAAAGATCTGTAAGCAGGTTCAAACTGTTGAGATAATTCACTTATTACTCTATAGGTGGAAAAAAAATGTTCTTTGGAGTCTGACCAACTGGGGTTTAACCCTCTGGTTTTATTTATTTATTTATTTTAGCTCCGTGACCTTGGGAAATTGCTTTTAAGTCTGTTTTTTCATATGCGCAATTAGGTTAATGAAAAATTTAAAGACTAGATTAAGTGATTTATGTAGTAGTTAGCACTCAGTAAAAGACTAGATTAAGTGATTTATGTAGTAGTAAGTATTCAGTTATCCCTTCTGTAATTAATCATACATTGGTTAATGACAGGAATATATGTTCTAGGAAACTCACTGTTAGACGATTTCATCCTGTGAACATCCTATAGTACACTTACACAGACCTAGATGGTATAGCCTACTACACTACACACCTAGGTTATATAGTATAGCCTATTGCTTCTAAGCTATGAACCTGTATAGCATGTCCTGAGTACTATAGGCAGTTGTAACACAGTAGAGTTCATGTATCTAAACCACTATACACAGAAAAGGTACAGTAAAAATACAGTTATACTGTATTATATTACAGATTACAAATGCAACACCTGTATAGGATACTTACCATGTGTGGAGCTTATGGGACTAGTAGTAGTTCCAGATGGGTCAGTGCGTGAGAAGTGAGTGAATATTAAGACCTAGAACGTGACTGTACCCTGCTGTAGACTTTACTGACTTGTACACTTGGATTACACTTAATTTACTAAAATGTCTTCAAAAATAATTAACTTTAGCTTACTGTAACCCTTTTACATTATAACTTTGAAATGTTTTAAACTTTTGGCTATTTTACAATGATATTTAGCTTAAAACACAAACATGGAGAGGTGTACACAAAATTTTTTTGTTTTTATATCCTTATTCTATAAGATTTTTCTGTTTTTAAATTGTTTTAGTTTTTAAGCTTTTTTGTTAAAAACAAAAACACAAACACACACGTTAGTGTAGGCCTACACAGGGTCAGGATCATCAGTATCACTGTCTTCCACCTCCATACCTTGTCCCGCTGGAAAGTCTCCAGGGGCAATACCATGAATGAAGCTGTCATCCCTTGTGATAGCCATGTCTTCTTATGGAATATGGAATACCTGTCTGTGGCTGTTTTACAGTTAATGTTTGTTTGTTTTTTTGTTTTTTTTTTTTTTTAAGAGGCAGGTTCTTGCTCTTTCACCCATGCTAGAGTGCAGTGGCATGATCATGATCATAGCTCATTGCATCCTTATAACTCCTGGGCTCAAGTCATCTTTTGCCCCAGACTCCTGAGTAGCTAGGACTACAGGAACGTGTCACCACACCCAGCAAATTTTAAAATTTTTTATAGAGATGGGTTTCACCATGTTGTAGATCTTGAAATTCTGGCCTCAAGCAATCCTCCCACCTTGGCTTCCCGAAGTGCTTTTTTTTTTTCTTCTTTTAAGTGTAGGAGCACACTCTTAAGATAATAGTAAAAAGTGTAGTATAGTAAATTGGTAAGCCAGTAACAGTCACTTTTATCATTATCAAGTATTATGTAATTGTACATAATTATATATATAATACTTTTAAATAACTGGCAGTGCAGTGGGTTGTTTACTCCAACGTCACCACTCACAGTTGAGTAATACTAACCCTATGACATTATGACTGCTTCAGTGTCACTGAGCAATAGAAAGTTTCCAGCTTCATCATAAGCTTAGGGAACCACCATTGTATATATGGTCCATGATTGACTAAAATGTTAGGTGGCAGTGGCAGGTGTATGAATACTGTTTTAATCATTTTTAAAATTATGTGAATGGAACATTTAAAAATCTTAAAATCATTTATGAAGTCTATTTGTTTGCCAATTTAGCGAGGTCTACTTGAAGTGCTTTATGACATCTTTCGTCTTCCTCTACCTGTTGTGACTGAGGAGTTTATAGAAGCACTACTAAGTGTAGGTAAGTATTGAAATACATTTGTATCTTTTCATATATTGTAATTTTTATTTGATGGAGACAAAGTTCCTAAAAGGAGAATTATTAAATATTGAATATCATTTTCTTTTCTTGCTGTATAATTGTGGCAGGAAATTAATACAAAAATAAAATGGCAAATACATTTTTAAGACTGAGAAATTTTGGTTTCTTCTCTATCAACTTGGCTTTTAGAGCAATTAAATTAATAAGAATGGGCCAACAAAGGAAGAGAGAAAACAGTAAGAAACGTGTGTAATCCTCAGATTATCTCATTCTCACGTTATTTGAGCAAAACGACTTAAAGTCCCGATGTCCCAAAATGAAGATTAGATCTGTGTATAGTTACATAAATAGTTTTTGTCTGTATCTTTTTGAATGTATGGTATTTAACCAACACTTTTAAAAGTTGTTTATAGCCTGGCTAGCTGATGGCTCTATACTTATCTGAAATGCTTTTGTGATACCTAATCTTTTTTCTACCTAATTTTAACTATTTTAGATCCAGGGAGGTTCCAGGACAGTTGGAGGCTTTCAGATGGCTTTGTGGCAGCTGAGGCAAAAACAATTCTTCCTCATCGTGCCAGATCCAGGTAGAATATAAAAAGCGTTTCTGTTTATTAGAATTAGAGTTTTTATGTTAGACTGTGTGATCTGTAAAACTTTATTCAAATTGTTTTGTGCTGTTTTTTCCAGGCCAGACCTCATGGATAATTATTTGGCACTGATACTCTCTGCATTTATTCGTAATGGACTTTTAGAGGTAAGACTTATAAACCTTATTTTATTCCATTTTGTTTATTTTTTCTAACAGATCTTTCAGTCCAGGTGCGGTGGCTCATGCCTGTAATCCCAACACTTTGGGAAGCCAAGGCAGGCGGATCACTTGAAGCCAGGAGTTCGAGACCAGCCTGGCCAACGTAGTGAAACCCTATCTTGACTAAAAATGGAAAAATCAGCCAGGCATGGTGTCACACGCCTGTAGTCCCCACTACTTAGGAGGCTGACATATGAGAATCTTTTGAACGTGGGAGGCAGAGATTACCCTTACCTGAGATCTTGCCATTGCATTCGAGCCTAGGCAACAGAGTGACACTCTGTCTCCAAAAAAAAAATTCTTTTAGAGTAAAAAATATATCTGATGCACAGTATATTCAGATGTATTATTTTGCAACAATGATGTTATCTTTTTATTTTCAAAGGGCCTAGTTGAAGTGATAACAAACAGTGATGATCATATCTCAGTTAGAGCTACCATCCTTTTAGGAGAGCTTTTACATATGGTAAGTTTAGCAACTTCTGATTATATGTTTCATATCTTTAATGTTTGAATTTATAAAATAGATCATTTTAATAGTGTTGCTTTGTATTATCTCAAAAAGTAAATTTGCATTTTTTTATGCATGTTTATCTTGCATTACAAAAAGCCCTTGGTACTGTATCCTGAGATAGATACATACGTGCACATGTGCACACACACACGTGTACATATTTTGATGGGTTTTATAAATGGAATAAATATACAACATACAAAATTCTGAAATTTTGATTTTTACACTCACTTTGAAAGTTCGTATATTTGTCCTGTAAATCTTAATTGACTTCAGAAAGACTTCCTACCTAAGAAGCAAGAAATTGCAAAACTATGAATACCACCTCAGTCTGCTGAGAATGTACTTGATACACGGTAGTGCCTGAATTTTAGAAGCCTTGTGCAGAAGCTTTAAATATAGTCTTGGTTGAACATTATAGTCTTTTCTATAAACCTGTAGTTTGAGGTTCAGAAGATGGTTTTTTGTTTTTTATGGTTACAGTAACTTTTGGAAACTGGGAGCTAGGGAAGTGATTTGACAATTCTTTACTCTCAGCAAATCAATCAGTGAGGGAACCCTGATAGTTTGCAAGGTAGGAATTTATATTTTTAGATTACTTACTAGTTAGTAAAATACAAAATAAAAAGAACCATTTAAAACTGATTAAGGAAGAATTGATTCTGTGGCAAATCTTTTGAAATTATGTTGCAGCTTCCTATTTTTAGCAGATATTTTTTATTTGGTTTTCCTTTCTTGATCTCTTTTTCTCCTCCTCACCCTTTTTTCCCCCCTCATAGCAGCTGGGCTATGTGAGTTAGGTAAAGAGCATTAAGCAGAATTTAATTTAACTGTCTTTTTTTAATCAGTCAATTATTTAGCTGCTTGCTCTGTTTTTTTGTTTGTTTTGTTGTTTTGTTTTTTGTTTGGTCCATCTGTGAAAGAATTAATGTAGAATTGGAGGCTTTCAGGTCTGATTATTTGTCTTTTAATTCTTAAGATAGCATTTCCTGTAAGAATACCAGTATTCAGAATCATTTGCTTTTTTAATGAAGGAATCTCTATAAATTTCGTCTTTTTCCCTTCTCCCATACCCAGGATTCCATAATTCTCTTGAAATAAAAACGCTGGTTATTTTTAGTATGACAGTGTTAGTTCATTGCTTATTATTCTTACATTTTCTGTCTTCCACATTTGATTGATGTTCTTGTCTTCATTGATAGCTGGTTGAATGGTGGGGTTTTTGTTTGGAAAGTAGAAATTAATACTTCCTATTTAAAATATTATGACATATGGGACAAACCTATTTTGAGAAAGTAGTTTTAAAACCTAAGCCAACTCATAAATTTGGATGTGACATCTAGCATTTTAAATGTTATTTTAAACATTAGTTGAGTCCTATAATCTTTTGGCATATAATCCCTTCTGGTCATTTAAGAATCAAGTTTAATTTGGGTACTGCTTAAAAACCATAATATTATAATAAAGAATCTATGAAACTTAATGGTTATATTAATATAATGTGTGTATCTTTATATTTCATCCTTGTTGGAAGTATTATAGATATGATAAAAATATAAATAAGCATGTAATGGGGAAAATAAGTTAATTTTATGAGTAAAACTTCAGAATTTGTAGTAGTCTTGAATACAGCATTATATGTGTAGGTAATCTGTAACAAAATATTTCTACTTCTGAAAACTCATGTAAAATATTATGCTTCATTTTAGGCAAACACAATTCTTCCTCATTCACATAGCCATCATTTGCACTGCTTGCCAACCCTAATGAATATGGCTGCATCCTTTGATATCCCAAAGGAGAAAAGACTGTAAGTATCAGAGCTTTAGCAAAGCTTTTGTTTGACATATTTAATATTGAACTAGTTTATCTTTTTTTTTTTTTTTTTTTTGAGATGGAGTTTCGCTCTTGTCACCCAGGCTGGAGTGCAATGGCGCAATCCCGGCTCACCGCAACCTCCGCCTCCTGGGTTCAGGCAATTCTCCTGCCTCAGCCTCCTGAGTAGCTGGGATTACAGGCATGCACCACCACGCCCAGCTAATTTTTTGTATTTTTAGTAGAGACAGGGTTTCACCATGTTGACCAGGATGGTCTTGATCTCTTGACCTCGTGATCCACCTGTCTCGGCCCCCCAAAGTGCTGGGATTACAGGCTTGAGCCACCGCGCCCGGCTATCTTTTCTTTTTTAAAAAAATAGTATGGATAGATTATGCTGGGAAATTCTTTTAGGGAATTTGCTAAATGAAAAATTAATAGTTCTAACAATGATAATTTGTGTTTTAGGGTACAAACTACTAATAGTCTAATAAAATCACTTTTTTCTAGCATGTTTGTACACAGGGACATAGGATATCATATTACTAAAAATGTTAGCTGAGAGTTTTTTGGACTCCTTTGTGTTGTGAGCAGCAATTCTAGCTTTTTGTGTCTGAACTATTTAAAATTAACAAAGCTTTACAATATTACTATTTTCTTTTATTTGCATGGTTAAAAATGTTGGCATTTAGTAACAAGTACTACTGGGCCATATAGCAATAAGCTGAACTGTTACTACTAAAGGAGATACTGCAAACATAGAACTTACGAACAAAATTATGGTAATACAACTGTAGCTTTGCTGGAATTCCAGTGCTAATAATAAAATATATGTAAAAGGTAAGGATGGAAGGCCTCATTGGGAAGTGCTAGCAGGAACTTAGTTTGGTTTAGTGAAGATTCTGTCTAGGCCAAGAATGTCTTGTGTTTGTTTTCTTGTTTTTATTTTGCTATTATGATCAGAAACATTTATATATGGACCATATTATTTATTTATTTTTTGGCTTGATGTTAGTGAAATGCCATTTTTTAGCTCTTCAGAACTTTGTATTTTTGTTAAGTTATAATACATTTTTTGAAAACTTAAGCTTTAATAATAAATTATACTTAATAATCTCTTAATTTTTATTCTGCCATTGAATATACTGTTTAACAGACCAAATTTGTCTTATAAACTGAGGGCATTAGGAGTCATCTCAGTTCTATCTCTAGGCTTACATCAGTAATAGTAGCTTTTAGCTTTTACATTAGTAGTTTCACAATGGAAAAATGTACTTTCCCAATACCTGAAAGACCTAAACTCAGGGTCAGAGTATGGCCACAAATTCCAGCACTCATCAGAAATTCAAATATATCTCCAGAATTCCAGTAAGAGTAGTCCTCTTAGAATAGTTTTATCTTTAGCTCAGTAAGCTTTCTTTACTGTTAAATACTTGCCACTCAGCACATCCCAATATTGAAAAATTCTACTTACTAGAAATTCTGAAGTTGAGACTTGCTACCATATTCTTCAAAACTGCACTTTTATGTACCACAAAGAATTAAATATAATTTATAAAAATAAACCATTTACAGTTACAGACCAATATGGAAAATAGACTGTTCAGCTGATACTGGGATCATTGATTATTCATATGGGAGTACAGTGAAATTATTTCAACCTCATACCATAAACAAAAATAAGTTTCAGTGCATTAAGGATTTATATGTGAAAAGCAAAGCTTTAAAACTTTGATAGAAAATGTAGAATACTAGGTTTCTGACCTTGTAGGAGTTCCTAAAACCAATATACAAATATACCCACCACCATAGAAGAAAAGTTTAGTAAGCACATGTTCAGTTGGGTCTAAATAATCAGTATGTCTTTATATACATCAGTAGTGTTGTTGATTTTTTTGTCTTTGTCTCTCTAAATTTGATGAAATAATTAATAATAATTTCTAACTTTGAACTTACATAAGCTTTAACAGTTTACCAAGGTAATCTCTTAAATTATGCTGGTCTTGTTATTTTGTTAATTGAATTGTTTTTCTCATTAGGCGAGCCAGTGCAGCCTTGAACTGTTTAAAACGCTTCCATGAAATGAAGAAACGAGGCCCTAAGCCTTACAGTCTTCATTTAGACCACATTATTCAGAAAGCAATTGCAACACATCAGAAACGGGATCAATATCTCCGAGTTCAGAAAGATATATTTGTTCTTAAGGTACTGACATGAAATCATGATTTTCAACTTAAACACAATATCTTAATTTCTTAACCACTGGATTTTAATATTCATGTGTTTGAGTTTGCACTTTCTTCATGCATATGAATATTCAGATGGCATCTGAGTTTTATAATTTAGAGCTGGGTTTTTAATAACTCTAAAATTGAAAAACATTGATCTATCCTTAAATGGAAAAGCTGTCTTTCAGTTTTTCAAATTTGAGCTTAGTTTTCTGATACGAGGAAGATTGCCTTAATTTTTCTTATTACTTTCTGATAATTTTAGGATACAGAGGAAGCTCTTTTAATTAACCTTAGAGATAGCCAAGTCCTTCAACATAAAGAGAATCTTGAATGGAATTGGAATCTTATAGGGACCATTCTTAAGGTATGGAAAGATATTTCATGGTAATGGCTTGTCTTTAATTATTAATTATAATATATTATAATTATCTTATATATTTGAGAATTGATAAATATATATGTAATAGAACATATTATGTTTTTCTAGTGGCCAAATGTAAATCTAAGAAACTATAAAGATGAACAGTTACACAGGTATGTAAGAACTATTTTGAATTTAAATTTAAAGAACTTAGATACAGATATTATGCCTAGTGCCTGCTAAAATATGTAATAATTTAAAAAATATACACATACATTTTAATAATTTCTCAATAGGTACATTCATTTTTTTTTTATATGATCTTATTTTATAACCAAAACATATTAGCAAATTCTTTTTCTAGTTGTTTACATTCTGCCTTTAGTTTTGGATTAAATGAAGTAGTTGAGATAAATGTTTTTCAAACTGGGGTAATATCAACTATGCAGTGGGTTTTAGCCCTAACATATGAGGATGACATAATAAGGGCTTATATTTTTAATATACAGCTTCTGTTCCTGTTTGACTTTGGAGTTATCCATTCTAACTGCTGTTTACATTCTCCTTAACCATACCCTCCATAACCCATGCAATTGTTTGTAGCATGACAAACACCTTGAGCTACTATGCTGTTCTTTATTACACCCATAAATTTTTACTCCTGAGTTTAGATTACCCAGCTATCAGTACTGATCTCAGAGGGCCTTAGTATGTTCAAGGAATTATCATCAACATTATTATTTGATTGCATTCTTTATTCATGATCTGTAACTTAATATCTGTATTATTAACTTTTAAGAAATAGAGATAACTTACAAATTACACTCAAAAAAGCATAGTACTAACTTGTTATACTCCTTGAGAGCACAGATGATGTCTTACCCAACTTTGTTTTCCCAGCTCCTGGATTGGACGCCTCTAGTGGATTGAATTATAGTGCATGAAATTGAACTGAACTAAGTTCAATAGAAACTTAGAACATAATGTTGAAATAGTATAAATTGTGTCTATAAATTTATTGGCCTAAATTGCAACTTTTATGCTTGACCTTTTGCCTAATTGTGAAAAACCACCAAAATCATAGTGTAGTATCTTCAATTATCTTAACAATAGAACATTATTGAGCCATGGGACAAAATTCTACATAGAATACAATAGAAGAAAATTTAAGTTGAGGTGACATTCTATTTATTCAATTTTGTATTCTAGCCACGTTAAATCTGCATTCATCTGGCTAGCATCTTTCTTCTTTATTTCTTCCAGCCATCTCACCATAAAATTCTTACTCCGTGGAGATATTTTTTACAATGAAGGGTTTTTGGTTGTTTTTTTTGTTGTTGTTGTTGTTTTTTTTTTGTTTTTTTGTTTTTTTGAGACGGAGTTTTGCTCTTGTTACCCAGGCTGGAGTGCAATGGCACGATCTCAACTCACCACAGCCTCCGCCTCCTGGGTTCAGGCAATTCTCCTGCCTCAGCCTCCTGAGTAGCTGGGATTACAGGCATGCACCACCATGCCCAGCTAATTTTTTGTATTTTTAGTAGAGACGGGGTTTCACCATGTTGACCAGGATGGTCTCGATCTCTTGACCTTGTGATCCACCCACCTCGGCCTCCCAAAGTGCTGGGATTACAGGCTTGAGCCACCGCGCCCGGCTGTTTTTTTTTTTAATATGAAATGTACTGTGCTAGTCTGTTCCCACGCTGCTATAAATAACTGCCTGAGATCAAGTAATTCCTATAAAGGAAAGACATTTAATTGACTTATAATTCCACATAACTAGGGAAGCCTCAGGAAACTTACGATTGTGGCAGAAGGGAAAGCAAACATATCCTTTATATGGCAGCAGGAGAGAAGTACAGAGCACGGGGAAAATCTCCTGATAAAGCATCAGATCTTGCGAGACCTCACTCACTGTCATGAAAACAGCATGAGGATAACTGCTTCCTTGATTTTATCTTATCTCGTGAAATCCCTTTCACGACATGTGGGGATTATAGGAACTACAGTTGAAGATGAGATTTGGATGGGGGCACAGCCAAACCATGTCTTGTACCAAACACATTTAATATATTTCTTGCCATTTATCCCAATGGTTCAGACCCAAAACATATTCTGAAAGCCTTATTATGTCATAAACAATGGTTAAGATTCTAAAATAATTGCTTTGTTTTTTACCTTTTTGCTACTTGTGTTTTGATTTTAGGTTTGTACGAAGACTACTTTATTTTTATAAACCTAGCAGTAAATTATATGCCAACCTGGATCTGGATTTTGCCAAGGCCAAACAGCTCACGGTTGTAGGTTGCCAGTTTACAGAATTTCTTCTTGAATCTGAAGAGGTGAGCATTCCGGATATTTTCCAGAGCAAATTTTTTATATTGAATTTGCTTTCCTTGCCCTCTCTCTGTTTCCACCTTCTGTTTTGCTTTTATTTCTGAATATGCATAAGCTGTATTTAGAAACTTAGGAAATGATCCCAGACCTAGAGTTGAATCCTGACTTAGTCACTAGTTAATGAGACTGGGCAAGTTATCTGCACTCTAGAAGACTTGGTTTACTCTTCTGTAGAATGGAGAATAATACCATCTCCATGCAGCATTGTGTTGAAGCGCATTAAAAAACAACAGGTACTCACTGATTGATAGTTATTATTGGTTAACTTCATCATTATTATTGAATTTTTGTACTTGATTGAGGTTAATTTTCCTAATTGTAGATTCACTGATTGATAGTTATTATTGGTTAACTTCATCATTATTATTAAATTTTTGTACTTGATTGAGGTTAATTTTTCTAATTGTAGATTTTGAAGGCATTTCTCACAGTATCACAATGTATTTACTTTTAGGATGGGCAAGGATACTTAGAAGATCTAGTAAAGGATATTGTTCAGTGGCTCAATGCCTCATCTGGGATGAAACCTGAAAGAAGTCTTCAAAATAATGGTTTATTGACCACCCTTAGTCAACACTACTTTTTATTTATTGGAACACTTTCTTGCCACCCTCATGGAGTAAAAATGCTAGAAAAATGCAGTGTATTTCAATGGTGAGCATTCCTAGATTTTGTTGCAATATATACATAAACTTTATTTTTAACGTAGTCAGATACGGTATGCATTTTAGTCTGTACATATTTGGTTGTTTTATTTTAAATTAGTATTATCTTTGCTTTAATATTCTTTTTTACATGATAGTTGTTATTAAATGCTTTCTTTCAGAAAAGCTTGTTTATATTAGGAATGTCAAAAACATGCATTGAATTGTCTTCATAGCCTTCCCACTCCAACATTCAAAATAGTAACTATGTGTGATGGTTGATGTGTTAATTGGTTTTGGTTATCTTCACAATGTACATGTACAACACATCATGTTGTACACCTTGAATAATACAATTTTTGTCATTTGTACTTCAGTAAAGCTGAAAAAATATTTGTTGATGTATCAATATAGTAATTTCTTGTAACCTTTCTTATTCCTTTTTTTTTTTTTTTTTTTTTAAGTCTCCTTAATCTTTGCTCCTTGAAAAACCAAGATCACTTGCTAAAACTTACTGTTTCTAGCTTGGACTATAGCAGAGATGGATTGGCTAGAGTCATCCTTTCCAAAATTTTAACTGCAGCTACTGATGTGAGTATAACATAGCCAGTAAAACTGTATTTTTATAACCAGTTAATTCACTACTTGATTTTGGACTAAGTAAAATTAATTTTAAATTCTAAGAAGATGATAGGAAAATTGAGTTTACTTTAAAATTTTAGTTTCTCCAAGAAACTCCATATAGTACTGATACTTTTTTATATCAAGCGGAAGAAGCTGCTAGATAGAAAGGGAAGTATTTTATTTTACAAGACCAAAAAAGTATTCGAATCAAGGGCTAGACCACCAATTCCAGTCTTTCTTCCCTTTTCAAGTAGCACGACTATCTCAAAGTAAAATCAAATAGACTATTTATGGTGAAGTTTTTTTTTTTTAATGTATTCATTTATCTTTATAGGCCTGCAGGCTCTATGCAACAAAACATTTAAGGGTATTATTGAGAGCTAATGTTGAATTCTTCAATAATTGGGGAATTGAGTTGTTAGTGACCCAGCTACATGATAAAAACAAAACGATTTCTTCTGAAGCTCTTGATATCCTCGATGAAGCATGTGAAGACAAGGTAAAAGTTTATTTTTTAATGATTTAATACTTTTTAAAAAATACTTAATTGACAATTAAAAGTATAATACATAATAGGCATTTTGGAACTAAAAAGTTTGCTATCTTTCTGCAATTGTGAAAAATAATGATCGTCTCTTTTAGGCCAATCTTCATGCTCTCATTCAGATGAAACCAGCTTTATCCCACCTTGGAGACAAGGGTTTGCTTCTCCTCCTGAGGTAAAATTTTCATAGTTACATTTTTTGTTGTGTGTGTGTGTTTTTTTTTTTTTTTTGGCAGTGTATATTAAAGATGGATTCAAATCCAAATAGGAAGTACGCTAAAGAGTTTACCTTTTAAGCTCTGAAATAAACTTAATTTTGACCTTGTACTTCCTTTAATATTGAAGCATTGTCTTTTCATTGTTTTAGAGTGTTTTTTAAAAAAATCTTTTGGTCTCTTCATACTTTTCATGACATTTTCCTTTTTTTGTTTTTTTTTTGTGATGTAGTCTTGCTTTGTCATCCAGGCCTGAGTGCAGTGGTGCAGTCTTGGCTCGCTGCAACCTCTGCCTCCTAGGTTCAAGCAATTCTCTTGCCTCAGCCTCCCAAGTAGCTGGGACTAAAGGCGCACGCCACCACACCCGGCTAATTTTTTGTATTTTTAGTAGAGATGGGGTTTCACCATGTTGACCAGTCTAGTCTCAAACTCTTGACTTCAGGTGATCTGCCCACCTTGGCCTCCCAAAGTGCTGGGATTATAGGTGTAAGCCATCGCACCTGGCTGACATTTTCTGTATTGTGATTGGGTTCATGCATTGTTGCAGAGATTGTGAAAATTTATTTGTGATTGAAGTTATAATAAATTATAGTTGACCTTTTAGGAAGGATAGTTGACTTTAGGAAATATTCCTAAAGTCTTTTAGCTCCTTATATTTTAAAAAAATTTTAATTATTTTAGCTTCTTAGACTTGCCAGACTCAATGTAAAACTATTGCTTGTTTTAATTTACAGATTTCTCTCCATTCCGAAAGGGTTTTCCTATCTGAATGAAAGAGGTTATGTAGCAAAACAATTGGAAAAGTGGCACAAGGTAACTTCTTATTGAATAATGTTGAATTTGTGTGTTTTTGTCTTTGGAAATTGTGAATTTAGAGGATTTTTTTTTTGAACTACAGTTACTTCTTTTATTCTTAACTTTTGACTGTATTCATTCTATTGAAATTTTGCTCTCTACTAATTTGATTTTATAATCTAATGTGTTGGCCCTACTTCTTTCACTCTTGGGTCCCTTATATAACCTAAGACTTTGCATGAACCCTTTTAATCTAAAACTAAAATAATTTTTTTTAATGAAAGAAGATTTAAAACAGTTCTACCAAAGAGATAAATCATTTAATGAAACTTCATTTTAGGGTACTACTTTACCCAAATCTGAGAATCAACTTCTTGCTGTCATAGGGAAACCTAAGAAAGGAAGTAGTTGCTATCATACATACTAGGGAAATCTGCTAAGGGAGTAGTTTGGAAGAAGATATGAAACAGCATTTCTTTAGCTGTTGATTGCTGTGGCTTCATTATTTTGTTTGAAGTATTGTAAGTCATCAAAGCATCTTGGAAACCCATGGTCAAAATGATCTTTACCAATATAAGTGATTTTTAGATTTTTCATCATTTCAGATCAGTTATCTTGTTTTCTCTTTTTTGTTAACATAGTTGCAGTTTCTTTTTTAGTGTCATTATTGAACCATATTTCATAAGAGATGCTCCTTAAATGGACTAAAACTTTGAAGCATACAACTTAAGGCATGAAGTCTTTTAGTATTTGAGGAATTGTAGAACTGAGACAAGATGTGATAGGTTTGTTTCCTAGAAGATGTTTAAATCATCATAATACAATTTATTATACAAAATCATAGTATTAGAAAATTGCTTAGAATTTTCGTGCAGTGCTTGCAAATAATAAGTATAAAATAGAAGAGCTATAACAAAGGCATATGCAAGTGTATAAGGGAACACAGAGGAGAGATTAATGATTCTGCCTTAGGAATTATCAAAAGAAATGTTGGTCAGACACAGTAGAAGATGTGATACTTGAAATGGTCTTGAGGAGTAAGTCGGCAAATAAATTGGAAGAAGGATATCCAAGGAAGAGGGAGTAGGATAAAGCTGTATAGATTATTGGAACATTATAGACTTATGAAGAAAGTCATATTCCAGTGTAGTTGGGACTAAAATAAGTGTGGAGTGGCAAGATGGGTCTGGAATAGTAAATTAAAGCTAGATTGTTAAAGGCCTCATAAGCCACATTGTATCATCCTAAGGAATTTCAGTTGTATATGTAGTGGGAAATCCTTAACAGATATTTAAAGAGTTATCAGAGTTATACTTTAGTAACCTGACAGGTTGCAGTGAAGAGGTGGAATTTTGATCATCAGAGGGAAAGTCTAGGAATATTGACACAAATTTAGAAATAAGACTTGGTGAGTGCCTGAACTTCCCTGGTAGTTAAGTTGAATAGATAAGGACAATTTTCTGGACATTTTCAAAATAAGATGGACAGAATTTGTGGGCTGGATACAGTAAACGAGAGGTCCAGCTTGGCTCATAAGGTTTTTAATTTAATGACTGAATATATAATAGATCACTATTAAGAGATCACATATGTAAAAAGTGGTTTGCTAAGATTAGGATAATGAATTTTCAGTATGTTGAACTGGCATTGCCTGTGCGATAACCAAGTGATGGTATCCAGGAAATACTTGAAAATGTGGATCTGGAACTCAGATTTGTGAGGAAGATGGCAGATATGGGGGTCATCAGCATATAGTAGTAATTGAAACCTGAGCCGAAGCTTATGGGTATGATAGAACATTTGCATTCATAATACCTTGATCTGTCTATCCTTTGCTAAGTATCTGAAATACTATAAATTTAGTGACTGTCATTGTGTTACTATGTGCAATTAAAACAATGTTATCTTCTAGGAATATAACTCAAAATATGTTGACTTGATTGAGGAACAACTCAATGAAGCACTTACTACTTATCGGAAGCCTATTGATGGTGATAACTATGTTCGTCGGAGTAACCAAAGGTGTATACCGAGTGCTAGTTCTGTTATCAAATTTAAAACCAGTTCATCATTAATTATTTTTTAACATTTCTGAGTTCTTGTACATTGAGTTTCTTACATGATATAGGAAGAATCTTAAGGCGCATCATTAATTGCTCAAAAATTCAGTGGCATTCATGGCTTGTTGAATATCCTTACTGATAAAGCGTTCAGATATACTCCATGCTGGCACCCCAGTCTACATTCCTAGCCCTAGATTCTCTTACCAGTACTTTGAGATCTGATAAACTGTTACAGATTGAACATCACTTATCCAAAATGCTTGAGTCCAAAATTTTGCATAAATGTATTCTGTCGTTTCATGTGTTTTATATTATTTTGTTTGAAGTATTGTAAGTCATCAAAGTATCTTGGAAACCCATGGTCAAAATGATCTTTACCAATATAAGTGATTTTTAGATTTTTTTATCCAGAAATATTTTGGATTTTGGAATTTTTCCGATTTTGGAATATTTGCATATATATAATGAGATATCTTGGGGATGGTACCCAAGTCCAAACATGAAATTAATCTGTGTTTTATGTACACCTTATACATGTAACCTAAACATAATTTTATACTATGTTTTAAGTAATTCTGTGCATGAAACAGTTTGCATTAAATACTAATGTTTGGAATTTTCCACTTACAGGGTCATGTCAGCACTTGAAAAGTTTTGGATTTTGGAGCATTTTAGATTAGGGATGCTCAGCGTATATTTTACCTGAGAAATCCTCATTCCTTCTTTCATATTTTCATTTATGCTGGGGAGTTTTATGTAATTTTATTTATCAAATACTTATTAATACTTTTGTTCTAATTAGCATTCTTAAATTAGCCAGGAGGTATATTAATCATCTATATTATACTAGATTACAGCGTCCTCATGTCTACCTGCCTATACATCTTTATGGACAACTAGTACACCATAAAACAGGCTGCCATTTGTTGGAAGTACAGGTAAAACATAATTCATTTATTTTAAGTAGCTGCAATAGTAAACAAAATAAAACAAAATCTTAATGTTGCTAAAATATTTCCTTTTAAAAACTGCTCAGAAGCCTTAATATCACTGACATAATTGCTTTTAAAGTCATCTATTTTGTAATTGACTTAGGCATTCTATATTTATTAACCTTAGAAATATTAATAGTCTTGCAATGCATTAACTGACTTGTGTATGACTTTTTGAATAACTAGTTATGTAGAGCAAGCAATCTAATGAAAGTCTGAGTTCTTTTCTTACAATTTATTGGAGAAATTCAGATCTCCAGAAATGAACTGAAAAACTGAGTTTTTCTTCCACTCATTGTGAAGTTAAACTGAACCTGATACAGATTCAGTTATCTTTGAGCAATAAATTGAAAATTGCTGGTTGTGAGCACATTTTATCCCTATACTTCATGGAATGTAACAGGCATAGGCAAGCAGTTCTTTGAGTTATAGTATTTATGTTTCTGACTACGCCAGGCAACTGTTTTCAATAAATGTAGCCTTTCTCTTATTTTATAAATAGTTATAGGAATATTTGTGTGTGTGACAGAACAATAGTTATTTACAGTTTTCTTCCTTTTTGTATCAGTACTCATCTCAAGAGCACAAAATTTTGCATAAATGTACTCTATAGTTTCATGTGTTTTTATATTATGTTAGAAAACTATTGTGACAGGTATTCTCATGTAAATATTTGAAAATTTCACTAAAAATTTAAATGATTTTCTCAGCGTTATTACCTACATAGTATGGTAAAACCTAAGCACTAATTTACTTTGTATTTAAAAGAAGTATTATTTTTTAGTAATACTAAGGGCAAAGTACTTTTGTAAGCACTGTATATGCAGTAATTGATTAAATCCTGAAACCTTTTGACACAAACGTTATTGTCCCTCTTCTAGAAATTAGGAAATCAAAGGATGGGGAGATGAAGTAACTTGCCCAAGGCCATGCAGTTAATAAGTGATAATTATAGAATGTGAATTCAGAACCCATGCCCTAATGCTCCTTCTCAAGACATTTTTATAAAATTATTTAGAATTTTAAGTATGCAAAAATGACAAAAAGCAAACCTTACATAGGTTTTATGATGCAATAAGAAAACATATTAAATACATAAATATATTATTACTCATATGGTAATTTCCTTTTTCTTTCTCCAGAATATCATTACAGAACTCTGTCGTAATGTTCGTACACCAGATTTGGATAAATGGGAAGAAATTAAGAAACTGAAAGCATCTCTTTGGGCCTTGGTTTGTAATAAACACTTCTGTAAGATCTTCACAATTTTTAGATTTCAGTTTTTTTTGAATTTATATTAAATAGATAAAAATTGTTTTCTTTGGAACTTCTTAAATTAATATTCAAAACTGGATTGTTCTTGCCAATTTAGTATTTTCTCTTTGTTGAAGAATAGATGGTTAAACTATTAGTTTTATGACTTTCATTTTGTTGATAAGGCAACTATAATTAACCAATGCCTAATGTTTTTTATTTGAGGATGTTTTTACATTTTTTTTCTCTCAGAGATAAGGTTAAATTTGTTTCTTGGTAGTTTTCCAAATCTTTTGAAAGCGTTACTCTTGTAAATATATTTGATGTAAGTGATTTCTTTTCTTTCAGGGAAATATCGGCTCATCAAATTGGGGTCTCAATTTACTACAGGAAGAAAACGTGATTCCAGATATACTAAAACTTGCAAAACAGTGTGAAGTTCTTTCCATCAGAGGGTAGGCCATTTAACTCAGAAATCTTTCTAATGTAGACATTATTATTTACAAGTGGATGTTAGGGAAAAGTATTTAATGATTAAGTGCAGTGCATAACTGTTAATTCACTGAAAGTTAATGATATAAGATTATTAACTGTTTTAAGTGAAACACCTAAACGAACTCCTTGTTTACTACTATCATTTTATTTTTATTATGATATTAAAGTTTGCCTTGTAGGTAACAGGGAAGGTGTAGTATTTGTGTACAGATATTCCAGTAGACCAGTAGCCCAACTATTCCAGATTTATACCAGAAAAGATAATATATGTCTTTTTTGCTCATATTGCATTGTGTTCTTTTTATTTTGTTGTAATTATTATTTTTATTGGAAAGGTTTGCTTTTTTTTTATTGCTGCTAATTTATTCCTAACTAGTTTTAATTATTTTTTTTTCAAAATGGTTATTTTAGTGGGTTTTAGAGAAAGTTCAAAGTACATATAGTAAGTGAATCCGTGATTGCTTTAAAGCAATCTCAGCTTGGAATTATAACTTACTTTACTGCATCTTTTATATACAGGACCTGTGTATATGTACTTGGGCTCATAGCTAAAACCAAACAAGGCTGTGATATTCTAAAATGTCACAACTGGGATGCTGTGAGACATAGTCGCAAACATCTGTGGCCAGTGGTTCCAGATGATGTAGAACAACTCTGTAATGAACTGTCATCTATCCCAAGCACTCTGAGTTTGAACTCAGAGTCAACCAGCTCTAGACATAATAGTGAAAGTGAATCTGTGCCATCAAGTGAGTATCCTGACAGGTTTATATAAAGTTAGCCAATCTTAACATTTATATTTGTGTTTTAAAATTTAAATGTACGTGTAACATACCTGATTTGCTTTTTTCTAAGATAATTACTTGGCAACAGTAGCCTCTTGGAGAATGTGTATCTTTTCATAACACAGACTATAGTCACCAGCTTACATTGTTCTCTCCTTATTTTCTAAGTAGGTTTTGAGAATTCCTACAAAGTTGTATAATAAACCATGTGCCAGAAGAACCAATCACCATTTTTTTTTTTTTGGCAGAAAAGAAACAAATATAACAAGTATTTATTTGTCTACCTTTTTTAAATTTAATCTTTTTACTCATTTTTCAGATACAGTGATTGTTGAGCCAGTATGTATTTTTAATAGATATTATATCCACGTCTTCATTTTAGAGAAAAGCACTAAATTTTAAAATAGTGAAATTGTTAACAGAGTAGCAAAAGTAATTATATATAAAATGATTTGTGGTTTTAAGTTCTGTGCTAAGTGGTGTTAGGTGTACAAAATGTAAGGCATGGTTCTTCCTTTTAAGAAGATAGTGTCGGGCCGGGCGCGGTGGCTCAAGCCTGTAATCCCAGCACTTTGGGAGGCCGAGGCGGGTGGATCACAAGGTCAAGAGATCGAGACCATCCTGGTCAACATGGTGAAACCCCGTCTCTACTAAAAATACAGAAAAATTTAGCTGGGCATGGTGGTGTGTGCCTGTAATCCCAGCTACTCAGGAGGCTGAGGCAGGAGAAATGCCTGAATCCAGGAGGTAGAGGTTGTGGTGAGCCGAGATCGCGCCATTGCACTCCAGCCTGGGTAACAAGAGCGAAACTCCATCTCAAAAAAAAAAAAGAAGATAGTGTCAGATTTATCTGTGTATGTCACCAAATCTGAGATGCCATGAATTTTGAAATGTACCAATATTTTATGTACCACAAAAGAAGAAGAAAGAAAAACTGCTGCCTGTTAAACTAGGACATACTGTTGCAGTATGCATTCTGATTTTAGAATCAGATTCTATGTGAAAATAGAAGAGATTAAATATGAAAAGTGTACATCTTAGAATTGACAAAATGTAGAAAAAAATTGACAAAATATAGAAATGCAATGCAGTATGCAAATTCATTTAGAATTTTCTTTTACCTTCTTTCAGAATATATTTGAAGTAGTTTGTAATTCAACAGAAAAATTAAAAAGAAAAGAAAAATCCTGTAGATGTCATTAGGCATTCACTTAGGTTACGTCTTCTAATAGAGTTGGGCACTAAATTGAGTTTCTTAGTATCTAAAGTAAAATGGGAAATAATGTAAACATGAATTTAAAATGTTATCGCTTGGTTCTCTAAGTATATTTTAAGATTGGGAATTCATTTCTTACAAGATGAATTTCTCCTGCCTATAGTAATTTAAAGACGAATTACTAGGAATCTGTAGTAACCGAATAAGCATCCATGATCAGGTCTCCGTTTTCCCTTTAATTTCGTCTTGAATATTTGGAAAATCAAATTAACTTCATGTAACCTGTGCCATACTGGGTCTTAGAATAATTTTTCTTTGGAAATAACAGGAGATCCTCATAAATTACATAATTTTACATTTTACTCAAGTCCAAACTGTGGGTTTCAAGAAAGATATTTTCAGGTAGCTGAATGGTTTAACCCTTTGTTTTTTAATTTTTTTTCATTTAGATAACTAAAAAAAATTTCCTGAAATGTGATGAATCACTAATAGTTATGAATTTGTCATTTTATTTGTACTTTTATTAATCGATCCTTCAATCATAGGTATGTTCATATTGGAGGATGACCGGTTTGGCAGCAGCTCTACTAGTACATTTTTCCTTGATAACAGTGAAGATACAGAGCCAGCATTTTATGACCGATCTGGACCCATAAAGGATAAAAATTCATTCCCTTTCTTTGCTTCTAGTAAACTTGTGAAGAATCGTATCTTAAATTCGCTTACTTTGCCTAACAAAAAACATCGTAGTAGCAGTGATCCAAAAGGAGGGAAACTGTCAACTGAAAGTAAGACAAGCAACAGGCGAATCAGAACACTTACGGAACCCAGTGTTGACTTTAATCATAGTGATGATTTTACACCCATATCCACTGTACAGAAAACATTACAATTAGAAACTTCATTTATGGGGAATAAGCACATTGAAGACACTGGTAGTACACCAAGCATTGGAGAAAATGACTTAAAATACACCAAGAATTTTGGTACAGAGAATCACAGAGAAAATACGAGCCGAGAGAGGTTAGTAGTAGAAAGTTCAACGAGCTCACATATGAAGATACGTAGCCAAAGTTTTAATACAGACACTACAACAAGTGGCATAAGTTCAATGAGCTCAAGTCCTTCACGAGAGACAGTAGGTGTAGATGCTACAACTATGGACACAGACTGTGGAAGCATGAGTACTGTGGTAAGTACTAAAACTGTTAAGACAAGCCACTATTTGATGCCACAGTCTAACCATCTGTCTCTCTCCAAATCAAACTCGGTATCCCTGGTGCCTCCAGGTTCTTCTCATACGCTTCCTAGAAGAGCACAGTCCCTTAAAGCACCCTCTATTGCTACAATTAAAAGTCTAGCAGATTGTAACTTTAGTTACACGAGTTCTAGAGATGCCTTTGGCTATGCTACACTGAAAAGACTACAGCAACAAAGAATGCATCCATCCTTATCTCACTCTGAAGCTTTGGCATCTCCAGCAAAAGATGTGCTGTTCACTGATACCATCACCATGAAGGCCAGCAGTTTTGAGTCCAGATTAACACCAAGCAGGTGAGCAAATATATGTTTAGAAGTGAGCAGTAATGGTTGCATTTTAAGAGATTTAAATACAAAAGGTTAACTAGGTTTTACACTCTAAAAGCCTCATAACTAACCTATTACAATTGTTTACTATGGTAGGCTACAAGCTCCTTGTTACCCGATATGACTTGAAATGGATTCTTGCAGCTGCGAGGGGGGAAGAAATCTTATAGGCCCTGAAAATAAACATACATGCTTTGCAAAGGACATACAAGTCACAAGCTTTTTTTTATTTATTTCTCGCTTCTGCAAGGATCGATTTTAAAAAGAAGCATGTCGGGGGAATCAGGAGCTTAAGACCTACAATAACAAACAACCTTTTCAGGTAGGTCAATTTAAGGCTCCAAAAGTTGACCTCTTTATTTATTTATTTTTTTAAAGATAACAAAATTTCAGTGAAATTATTTTCACTTTAAGTAGCTGTGATTATTAAGTAGGAACCTAATAAACACTAAATGAATTACTTGGTCCTCATGACTTGGGAGGGATTTCTATACCATACTTAGATTTTGTCAAGCTTGTCAAGGTCAACAGTTTCGATTTTACTTTTAAAAGATACACAGTATTAAATTTGATTGTTGCAAACATTTCTGTACCTATGATTTTTGTTGTTGGGCCAAATGCTTCTAAACAACTTGCCTTAGTTTTAAATTACTCATTTACATTTATGTAAGTGGGATAATATATATCAAGTACTTATATGTCAACACTGTATATTAGAATAGTGTGCCAATAAAAGTTAGCTGTTATTTTTATTCATCATCATTGATATTTAATGTAGTAAAAGTTAGCTGTTTATCATCATCCTTGACAGTTATTTAATGTAATCCATCTGACCCTTACATTATTCTTAATAACATTAAACAGTTTTGCTTTAACTAGCACATTTAATAGAGGGTTTCCTGATAGGAGATGATCAATTATGTACCCTTACAGGATTTACGAAATTGTGCAGCAGTATCTCATCTATCTAGAACTTACTAGCTTGGGCAACCTTATCCAGGACAAAGCCAGGGAAATGGCTCAGCAGCTCACTGTTAGAAACCTATGCAGTAAAGTTCATGAATTTTGAAAATTCCTAAGCCTCAGTTACCTCGTCTGGCGGAGATCAGTGGTATTAAACTTTTGTATGGTTGCTTTTTAAGCCGAGAAATTCTTTTTTCAGATAAAGATTTCTATGGAAACCCAACAGGTAAAATATATAGAAATGGAACTATACTGGTTGAAATACTGGAATTAGAAAGGAGAATAATCAAATAATTTTTTGCTTCCCATTCCAGTAATCCTTGAAGAGTTTTATGGAATCAAAGAAGTGTAACAGTACAGTTTGAAAGAGTGTTTTTTGGGTGGAAATTAGCAGAATGGTTTTTGCTATGATAATCTTAATAGCTACTGTTTATAAAGCATTTATTTTGTGTATTTTATGAAATAATTCTTTATTAGGCTATATTCATACATTTTAAAGACTTTGGTTTTTCAAATAAAAATATCTTCATATAAATGTATATCAGTGTGGAACCTTGTATAGTACCTTGTATGTATACAGCAGATACCATGTAAATAGCATGTCTATTGCATAAATAAGAATCGTATGAGAAAGATGTATCTTATGGAAATATTAGCGTAAGGATCTCTAGTAATGAGTACATTGTGGAAATAGTGCTTTATACAAGGTTATCTCCTGTCATATTTATAAATGGTACCATTTTGCTCTTGTGTCTGTCTTGTGTGTTACAAAAATCTTATGTTGGTATGAAGGCATTAAGGTAAATATCAATTGGTATTGCATATCAAATAATGATATGTAAGCTTATTGTTTATAAATATAAATAGAGTTAATACACATATCCTTAGTTACATAAGTACCAAATCTGGTAGTCTCAAGTAATTTTAAAGATAGTCCTTGGACTATGCTCTGACTACTGAGGTCAGTTTCTTTTTTTACTTCTAGATGTTGAAAGTTAATCTAATTGCCTACCTTTTCGCCTTTACCTGAGAGACCGTAACAGTTGTTTTGGTAACAGTCAACATTACTGGTGACCTTTTACATATCAGTCTATAACAGCTAATATTTTAAAGTGTTTGTGTGTTCCCAGTAAACAAGATGACACTGCTTAATACATGACTAGCTACTTGTCTTTTATAAAGGTAGGAATATATGTTATTTCTTAATATGATTAAAATTACAGATCAGGAAACTAATGCAAGTGGTTTTTTTTTTTTTTTATGGTTTTATAGATTCATGAAAGCCTTAAGTTATGCATCATTAGATAAAGAAGATTTATTGAGTCCTATTAATCAAAATACCCTGCACCGATCCTCCTCAGTGCGGTCCATGGTGTCCAGTGCCACATATGGGGGTTCAGATGATTACATTGGTCTTGCTCTTCCAGTAGATATAAATGATATATTCCAGGTATCATCATACATTTTATTGTTTTCCTGTGAGTTGGTTCCTGTTTTTTTCATGTTCAATGACTGCTTACTAAAAATCATAATTTAGAGTGGGCACTAGTTTCCGGCAGCATGATTTTTTAGGATTGTTTTGTTTAAAGAAACTTTAAGACGAAAATTATGCCTTCTTCACCTATTCTGTACTCTTTTATTTAGTCTTTAGAACGTTATCCTTTCCTCTCTTCCCGTATTAAACCAGTATCTCATTTGATTTCTTTATCCATATATTCTCTGTAGAAATTTATGAAATTTCTAACTTGTTTTTTAGTCACATTAACTTACACCTCATTTTTAAAATCCTCATTCTTATTTATCCCATAAAAGGTAGCCACATGTGGTACCCAGTAATATAAAGTGACCCTAATCCCATGAGATACCCACAGATCTCTAGATAGTATATAGTACTAAAAACACATATTCTTAGAAGTTTAAAGACAGTTTAGGTAAGCACTAAATTTTTGTATTTGTTTACTCACTAAGAATAGGGTTATTTTGTTAAGTTTTGGTAGTTAAACCTTCAGTAAAATTGACTATGGATAGGTTCATATGCTATAGTAATTCTATTTTAATTGTATTTTGTTTAATTTTGCTAATTTTCATAAAGTGGACTTCTTTTTACAGCATGACTTATGGTTTATATCTTTTTTAGGTAAAGGATATTCCCTATTTTCAGACAAAAAACATACCACCATGTGATGATCGAGGTGCAAGAACATTTGCCCATGATGCAGGAGGTAATGCATTGTGCTTTGTACTTGTGAGATGCCTCTTTATATTGAAAAGAAAACTCTTAGTTCTTTCTAATAGGATAAATCTAAAAATTTAGGTAGACTTACTTTTGGATCAACTTAAAAATTATACCAAAACAATTGTTAAAGTCACCTTAACATTAAACCACTTTTTCTTGTGTGTGTGAGGGACTTACCAGTGTTTTGCCAATGAAGTACTCAACCTTTCAAAGAAATAAAAACCAAATTAGTTGTTTCTTTTTTTTTTTTTTAAGTAGCACAGGAAAAATGTCTAACCCTAATCCTCATAGATCCAGGAAATAGCTGTTTGGTAGGAGAGATAGAAATATACTTAAAAATTACATGATCTTTGTTATGAACTGTTATATTTTAATATGTAAATATAAGCCACAGGTTTTATAGCTTTATATTCTTGGACTTTTTTAAACAAATGCCTCTTTATACTTATAATTATTACATATCTTTAGTCAAGTATTGAAGATAATTAAAAGGATGCATTATATAATCTCAGTTTTCCATTTTGTGTTTAAAACTTTTTTTTTTTTTTTTTGAGACGGAGTTTCGCTCTTGTTACCCAGGCTGGAGTGCAATGGCACGATCTCGGCTCACCACAACCTCCGCCTCCTGGGTTCAGGCAATTCTTCTGCCTCAGCCTCCTGAGTAGCTGGAATTACAGGCATGCGCCACCATGCCCAGCTAATTTTTTGTATTTTTAGTAGAGACGGGGTTTCTCCATGTTGGTCAGGCTGGTCTTGATCTCTTGACCTCATGATCCATCCGCCTCAACCTCCCAAAGTGCTGGGATTACAGGCGTGAGTCACCGCGCCCGGCCTAAAACTATTAAAATAACAAACATCTGCTGGCTTTACTTATTTTTATAATTTAAAGCAAATTGTTCTTTTTTTCTTTCCAGTTAAAGTTAGATTTTGAGTCATAAAATGTGCTTTAGTTTTGTTTAAAGTTTTACATAATTTAAGGTACCTTGAAAAGTACTGTCTTTGTTCGATTATGTTTTATATTTACTTATGCACAGGTCTTCCATCTGGAACTGGAGGTCTTGTAAAAAATTCTTTTCACTTGCTACGACAGCAGATGAGTCTCACGGAAATAATGAATTCAATCCATTCAGATGCCTCTCTGTTTTTAGAAAGTACAGAAGACACTGGACTACAGGAACATACAGATGATAACTGCCTTTATTGTGTCTGTATTGAAATTCTGGGTTTCCAGCCCAGTAACCAACTAAGTGCAATATGTAGTCATTCAGGTAAGTGATCATGTCCTTTGAAATAAATCCACCTGAATATGGATTTGAACTAGCCACAAGTTATCTCCAGCCCTATTAATTATCCATACCCTCTTGCTCCATTCTCACTGTCTCAGCCTTAGTTCAGTCACTTAGCATCTCCCTATTGCCATGTTAGTATTTTAGCTTCTAATTTTTATACCTTTGAATTCATCTTTTATACTATATCATGGAATTAATCTGTGTGCAATTCTTTAATGGCTATTCATGCCTAAGACACAAAACACTCTGTCATCTGTCTAGCGGTCTTTTTCACCATTCTCTTTTCCTATAGTTGACATATCATTACTAACTGACCTGAAGTTTTTGAACAAATTTTTAGTTATGAAATTGCCTGCCATCCTCTCTTTGCCCTTTCCACTCCCTACACAGACATACATGATCTGTTTGGCAAGCCCACCTCATCCTACACTTCAGGAGTATCTTGCCTGTGGAGCTTTCACTGACTCTCTGAGGCAGGTGTGACATTCTCTTTCCTCTCATATAGATCTCTTATGATAATTATGACTGTGACAGCTTAGGTGATTTTTGTCTTTCCACTCAGTTGCATTCCTTTAGGGCATGGTCTGTCAGTCTTTACATTTTTATATTTCTCATACCTATATGTGTACTGCTTTGTACAGCAGGCCCCTAATATGTATTTGGTAAGGAAATAAAGTGGACCTACATTGAGCTTTTTTATCAACAAGTGACATATGTTAGCAATTTTAAGTAAGTATATATGCGTTTTAAGTATTGCCTTTTCTTGGTGAGTATCACTTAGCTACCTTCAGAAAAACCTAGTGATGACTGAAGTTCTCTGGCTTACTTTTCCAAATTTCTTTTTAGTATTCTAATTCAGAGTTTCCCTGCTGATGAGTTGCAGCACACTGATATGCCACAAATAGAATATGGTTATGCTGAGATGCCAATCCTCTCATGGTTTTAGGTCACAGTGGGGCCTGAATCTGACAGATCTCTGGACTAGGCCTTTTCCACTGTGAACAGCCATGTCCAGGGTCTTTGCATGCTATAATTATTTTCATTTTCTATGAGGAAGAAGGTTTGGGAAGTGTTTGGTGTATTGCACACAATTAGAGAAAATGTTATTGTATATTACTTCTTTTTAATATACAGTGTAAGCATGGTAAGTAAGCCATTATAGTGCTTTAATTGAAATAATTATTTTTTTCTTCAGACTTTCAAGACATTCCATATTCTGATTGGTGTGAGCAGACTATCCATAATCCCTTAGAAGTGGTTCCCTCCAAGTTTTCGGGGATTTCTGGATGCAGTGATGGGGTGTCCCAAGAAGGCTCAGCTAGCAGCACGAAAAGCACAGAATTGTTACTAGGTGAATATTCAGATTCAAATCCAATCATTATTAATAAAACTGTTTTTAGTTGGTTTTGTTTTTCATAAATACTGTAAATTAAAATTGTCTCAAAACAATAATATATCTATTTTAGTGAAGCAATTTAACACTGTTGAATATTGCACCTGTATCACCCACTGACAGATCCTCTTAGCTAACTGCTTTTATTAGAGTTTTGCTCTCGAAATGATTGGCAGAGCTTGTGCAATTGATCTCAGTTCTAGGTCTTTAGGTGAAGTTTAAAAATAAATTTCATGAGTCATAATCATTTTTTGTTGTGATACAGATAGTATTTAACTTCTCACTGCAATCTTTTCAGGTGTTAAAACAATTCCAGATGATACACCAATGTGCCGTATACTCCTTCGCAAAGAAGTTCTAAGATTAGTCATTAATTTGAGTAGTTCAGTTTCAACTAAATGTCATGAGACTGGGCTTTTAACGTGAGTAAACCATATGCATAAATAATATTTGTTTATACTGTTTTTTAAGTTGAGAAAAGATGCTTGAAATACTTCGAAAGTTAGGCATGTTAACTTACATCAGTAGTTCTAAACTGCATCATGTACCTGTGTGAGGCTAGATTTTCTTTAATACTTTAACCACAACAACATATGGCAACAAATTGAATGCAAAAGAAAGTATAAGAATCTAACTATCTTCTTATAAGCCAGACTTTTAAAGACATCTATAAAAAGGATAAAATAATACCACTCTTCTCACTTTTTTACTTTTGGAAAATACAGTTATTTTTATTAAAATTATGTTATTTATGTTAGCATGTAATGGATTTATTTTTTAAATAAATTAATGCATATTAGGAAATCTCTTAATTTCCAATATAGTAGTTAATGATGGCTATAACCCACACAAAATTAACTTTTGGGGTCCTCATTAATTTTTGAGAAAGTAAGTCCTGAGACCAAATAAGGAAAGTGGGCTTATGTAACAAGTCATATTTTCTTGGTTTAATTTTTTTCTTATTATTTAAAGCAGTGGTTCTCAAAAAAAAAAAAGTGTACCTCCGGGTCTCCTGTAGGGCTTGCTTTTTTTTGGGGGGGCAGACAGAGTCTTGAACTATCAGCCAGGCTGTAGTGCAGTGGCACAATCTTGGCTCATTACAGCCTTAGCCTCCTGAGTATCTGGGATTATAGGCGTGTGGGGCGTGTGCCAACATACCCAGCTAATTTTTGTGTTTTTAGTAGAAATGGGGTTTTGCCATGTTAACTAGGCTGATCTTGAACTCCTGACCTCAAGTGATCCATCCTCCTTGACGTCCCAAAGTGCTGAGATTACAAGCATAAGCCACTGCCCCCAGACAGTTGTAGGGCTTTTTTTAAGGGTGATAATAGGTTTTATGGTCCCACATAGGTATCAGGGTCCCAGAGCAGACCTTTGGGCCAGGAGCTCTAGGAGCGGGCCCTTAACTTGTCACCCACCCAACCCACAGTTGATTCTGTGATGCTCTCATAGCTAAAAGCTACTATTTGAAGTGTCCAAAGAAATAGCCCAGTCAGGGATGTTAATAACTTCAGTGTAACTTGAAAAATGCATTTCTATTTTAAAACATAATTTTGAAAATATTTTAATCATCCTAGGCTGATAAGTATAATTTAAAATTTCTCATGCCAGTGAAAAAGAATGTTTTAACTTTACAAGAAGTATTCAGGTTTTGATAATCTTTTTTTTTAAACCCCTAACTCAGAATATCTTTAAGTGTGTGAGAGGAATATGTAATATTCTTTTTTTTTTTGAGACGGAGTTTCACTTTTGTTACCCAGGCTGGAGTGCAATGGCGCGATCTCGGCTCACTGCAACCTCTGCCTCCTGGGTTCAGGCAATTCTCCTGCCTCAGCCTCCTGAGTAGCTGGGATTACAGGCATGCGCCACCATGTCCAGCTAATTTTTTGTATTTTTAGTAGAGACGAGGTTTCACCATGTTGACCAGGCTGGTCTCAATCTCTTGACCTTGTGATCCACCCGCCTCGGACTCCCAAAGTGTTGGGATTACAGGCGTGAGCCACCGCGCCCAGCCAAATATTCTTTTTTTTTTTTTTTTTTTTTTGAGACGGAGTCTCACTCTGTCACCCAGGCTGGAGTGCAGTGCGCAATCTCAGCTCACTGAAACCTCTGCGTCCCACGTTTAAGCGATTGTCCTGTCGCAGCCTCCTGAGTAGCTGGATTACAGGCTTACATCACCATGCCTGGCTAATTTTCGTACTTTTTGTAGAGAAGGGGTTTCGCCATGTTGGCCAGGCTGGTCTCGAACTCCTGACCTCATGATCCGCCCACCTCAGCCTCCCAAAGTGCTGGGATTACAGGCATGAGCCACTGTGCCCGGCCTACATTTTATATTCTGAAGTCATCACCCCAAGTATTCCATCTAATCCATATCTGGAGGGAAATCTGTTTTTAAAGTAAGTGATACCTTGGAGGAAAAAATAGATACATTGTGATTACAGTTTTCATTACACCATAATCTTTTCTTTCATTTTAGAATTAAGGAGAAGTATCCTCAAACATTTGATGACATTTGCCTTTACTCTGAGGTTTCCCATTTGTTGTCACACTGCACATTCAGACTTCCATGTCGGAGGTTCATACAAGAATTATTTCAAGATGTACAGTTCCTACAAGTAAGTATGATTAGTGCTTCTCAAATTTATGTTCCAAGAATAAATCTCTGTTTGAATTGAATTAAAAGAGAGATTATAATGCGGTGTGGTGACTTATGCCTAAATCCCAGCACTTCAGGGAGCCAACACGGGAGAATTGCCTGAGCCCAGGAATTCAAGACCAGCTTGGGCAGTATTGTGAGACTGCATCACTACAAAAACTCTTTTAAAAATTAGCCAAGGGTAGTGGCATGTGCCTGTAGTCCCAGCTACTTGGGAGCCTGAGGTAGGAGGATCCTTTGAGCCCAGGAGTCAGAGGTTGCGGTGAGCAAATACTGTGCCACTGCACTCCATCCTGGGAAGATTGAGCAGGACACTCTCAAAAAAAATTGTTATATATTTAAATAAATACATGCTGTATTATCAATTTTTGTAAAAGTCATTAATGATACACCATTTTTTTTCTCTAGATGCATGAAGAAGCAGAGGCTGTGTTGGCAACACCACCAAAGCAACCTATCGTTGATACATCTGCTGAATCCTGACCTCATATTTATTATGGATATAGATATATTTTATATATATATATATATATATATATATATATATATATATATATATTCATATTTGTGGATTTCCTAAAAGCCTCAGAAAATACGACTGGGCAGCAAAGACAGGAGTATCTTCTGTACACTGTTCCACAGTTACTGGTACATGAACAGTTGGAACTGCTGACTTCCCTAACCAAAACAACTTCCTTCTCTCCCTTGTTGAGCCTTTTGAGGGGTTCATGATTCATTACCACAGATTTAAGAGTTTTAGTTACCATTGTATGCAAGAGCCAAGCACTGAATACCTACATAAGTTTTCTATTTTTTCATTTTAAAAGCATAATGACAGTGGAACAATAATGGGATATGCAGAAGCACCCTTCACAGTTATTTCTGGATTATTTTTAGGGTAAATATACAGATGCCTTGTTAACTAATTTGTGGAAACCAGGAATCAGTGTCTCTAAAGCTGCATTCTGTTACCACAATGGGGTGTGCTGTAACTGCTGGTATTAGAGAGGGAATTTTGGCCCTTTCACACTTTTCTTAATGTTTGTAACACTACTTCAGGGGTTTATAACCTCAAAGCAAAAGAAGAGCCTCAACAACCCGGGACTTATAAGTTATTTTTATGTTACTAGACTTGCATAAAGATTCTTATTTGTTTTCCAACTCTTCATTTTGTTGCAATGTGTTAATACAGGATATATGAACCAATTAAGGTTTTTCACTACAGTTCTTGAATAAAATTTAAAAATCATTTTTTATTTTAATAAAATTTTTTCCCATTTATAGAATGCATATATTTGTAGTGGACTTCACTTTCATCAACTTTCCATCGCATTGCTTTAAACAGGAACTTGAACAAGCACTGTTAGTTCAGACCTAAAGAAAAGGAAAGCATTAAATAATACTTTGGATCTCGTGAGAAAAAGATAAGTTTGCCTGCAATTTACACATTCCATGGGGAAAGAAGAGCCATATTTCCTTTAAGAAAAATCATTAATAAAGCTTGTTACTAAGAAAAATTGTAGTGAAAAGCCTTAAGTACCAAATTTTAAAGCAGCAGTAACTTAATTTTTATATCAATGTTTTTGTTTTGCACAAACTAAATGCAGTGATAGGTGGGTTTGAGAGTATATTAATTGCCTTTATCCATTTGTGAAGTTAAGCTGATGAGGGCAAGGTTTTTGTTTGTTTGTTTAATTTGTATATGTCTAAAGGTATTTGGAAATTTTTACAGGAATTAAACATATATGCAAATTTGTATATAAAAATAGCATGGCCATCATCATTTGAATGCTTGTAAATGAAAGGATTATCTTTTTTGAGATCTATATATAAATAGAAATAGGAAATCCAGCTGGACTGATTAGGATTCTTTTTTAATTCATTTGTGTATAACATTTTTATTACAATTACACATCAGTTTTGACACAGTCATAGCAACATTGATTAATATTTTCCCATGTTGCAGATCCTTTTTGTAATGGGTTCATTCTTTGAGATCTCTGTAAGGAACCCTGTGAACTAGAAAACAGAACTCACAGAGATACTTTTTTAAAAAATGTATTTACTGGCACTGAAAGTTCCAGTTGGGATGAAGCATTTCATCTCACTTCATAACACCTCTTTGACTGCACTTCAGTGAATTGTTCTTATGTGCACTGCGTAGCAACTTACATTATAACAAAGCAGATAAGGGCTGTAAGCTGCTGCTTATGTTGAAAAGTGGTTCTTCAGATTTTCTCTCATAAAATCCAATTGAAGATAAATAATTTTTTATACTTTATCACTGAACCCAAGTGTTTATTTACATGTCAACAGTACTTCTAAGAATGTTGCCTGTCACCGTGGTCTTTGGTCTTGGATAACTAAACTGCCTTTCCAGAGAACCAAATGTCAGAGTTACTAGACCAAATAGTGGTTAAAACCTCCAAAGGAAGTCATGTAGTTACCTTATTCATAATGGGATTAACATATTTTAGACATTCATTTTAAACACTACCTCAGTTAATATAGACAATAAAATCTGTGGTTTCATCCCTCAAAAGTTAACAGTAATTTTTATTTTTGTCTTTACACACACACACACACACACACACACACACACACCCACCCACCCCACCATCCCCCACCATCACTATCCCTGGACCCCTACCTTGGTCATCTGTCGTGAAATAAGGCTGTTACTATTACCTGAATGGGTTGGTTTTTTTTTTTTTTTTAACTGTTACTTTGAGAAACTTGTATGTATACATTATCGTATCTGCCTATATCACTTACTTCGGGGAGATACTCAGAGCTTTGTGGTTATCAGTATACTTTTAAAAGAAAGTCTGTGCTTAAATTTATAATGCTATTTGGTTTCTCCATGGTTTCACTGACAGGTCTAATACATTTTCTTTGAGTACTTGTTTGTAAAAAGTAGACTTCATGGTGAAAAATACATGCAGTGCCAAGTGATTAACTTAGGTGTTAAAAATATTAAATTATAGCAGAAGAGGTTAGGAATGATATCAGCAGTAATAGAAATAATTGAGAAAATCTATAAATAATAGATACTGAAGACTATAGAATACCAAAATGATGTCAATAATGTAGTTTTTATAAAGATTTTAGGATTAATCTTAGTCCATATAAATTTGTACTATTGGTAATTATTGAATAATTTGGAGGAATTTGAGCAGTTGTGCTGGTTGTAAACTGTGAATTTTTAATCGCAAAGTGAATTGTTACTTCTAATCGAACGTTTTTCAAGAACAGATTTCAGCCTCACATACTAAATACTGATAAATAAGGAAATTAGAAATTTAGTATTCATAATTATATATGCTCTAAAATTTCTTATACTTTCATTTCCTGTTTATTCTTAGATTTGAAGGGGTAAACAATCTATTCTAATTAAATTTTTTCTAATATTAGAATAATGACATTCTGTATGACAGTGACATTAAAAAAGGTTCTTTGGAAGTACATACGTTATTATAATAATGTGTACAAGTCCTTTTGAAATGACAACTTTTATGGGTTTCAGCTCTTTTATCTAGAGCTTGAGATAATTAAAGCTGAATTTTTCAGGGCATATCACAATGGTGAAGTGTTCAACAGTGGGATGTCGATGCTTATTTAGATTTGCCTACTGCTATTTATATAAAATGTTATTCCATTCAGAGGATGCCTTTTATCCCCTCATTAAAGCACAGAATCACTAAGCAATAAAAACCAAATTGTCTGTCATTCAAATTATAACTGCAGTTATTTTCGCACGGTAAGAGTGAGGTGCTAATTTTGTGTGAGATGAACTTTATAAACTACATTGGAAAATGTTCTTTGGAAGTAAGTTTTTTTTCCCCCTTTACTCTTAAGCTTCCAGTTTTGTCTCAGATTCACAATCCATTAATACATGGGGAAAAAAAGAAAAGGTAAAATTGAGAGACTTTTATTAGAAGAGCTGTTTGGAATGAACCAACATTTCAGATTTTCCAAAATAGAAGTTGGGAAAAGTCTCCATTGTCTCTGGATTAACAAAATACACTGTTACTTTCTTAATCTCAAGAGTGTCATTACAGTGAGAATCTCATTAAAAAGCATACCAGTGAAATTAATAGCAGTGCTTATCAGACAACACTGAAATCTGTGAGAATCTTTCTAAGAGCATTCTTTTTTTCTTTTAGTTCTAAGTTCCAGGGTATTTTTCATTCCTACTAGGTTTATATAACTCACAGAATGTGGACTTTTTTCCCATTTGGAGTATTTTTGTAATGTAAGTATCGAATAGCTGTACCACAGCATGCATAAATTGCACATTTTGTTTTACTTTCTTTATGAAATATTTAATTTCAAAAATATAATTTATGCCAAAAAAAAAAAACAAAAAACAGCATATCTTTCAATTTTGCTACTTGGTTGATTTAGCACAAAACGCAAAGTCTTGCGGCATAGAGGGGGAGTGAAAAAATTTTTATAGGTAATTGTTAGAAAAATGCCTGTCAGAAGCCCTAAAGCTGCATTGTAAAACAAGTGGTGTAAATTAGTTTTGAAAAGTGGTAAGGAATTATGAAAAAATCTCAGACTTAATGCTCTCTAACCACGTGATTTTCTTTTTATTTAGTAATAACGCTGCTACATATTTGGAGGTTCTGATGTTTGTAGGTCACTGAACAGACATTGAAATCTGATTTATATTGTATAACTGTAACATAGAAAAAGTATTTATATTTTTTCTGTAAGAATATTTCATTGAGTTGTGTATAATTTAAATAAGATTTGTCCCCAAATGGTTTTGCTCACCTTGATTTTTTTGTTGTGATTTTCTTGTTTTTGTATAATGTGTACAGTTTATGTCAATGGCATTAAAAGCCTCTTGAAGCATAATCTTATCAAAGGGATACATTGTTAATAAAATGTACTTAAGATTCTTAAACTCTTTGCCATTGTTTTATTTGAAATCTTAAAACAGTCAGTAGTCATATGGCCTTGATTTGAGTCCTGTAATGCTGATGCTGACATATGTGACTCCAAGCAAAAGTGACTTTTAGGTTCCACAGACATATAGAGTGGCGGTGACAAATATTTTAAAGCAATACTCTTCTTAAACACTTTGTAATTTAATCAAACGTCTTTGCAGTTTTTAAAACTATAAAGACATGGGATTTGGAAAATGGGTCAACATCTTTAGATAGAACGGCTCTGAATGTTTTGAGGAAATAATGTACCATATTATAAATGATGATATGACAGTGGTGACCTCTGTGGAAGGTACTTAATTTCTCATGCATGAATTGTCCTGATTGGATAAGGTTACCTACAACCACTTACTGGCAAAAGAATACCACCGAAATTACCAATTCTGGAGAATAAAGTTGAGTGTCAAAAGTGTAGGATCTGTTAATAAAATACGGTAAAATACGTTTCACTTCAAGAAGCATTTTGTTTTGGATAGTTTGGCAAATTTCTGTGTATCATTTTTCCCAGTGTCTTCCACTGTATATGTCGTTGAAAACTTAGTTGGCCCCAAAATAAAAAGCATACCTAAA